CTGGGGGTGGCCGTTGGACCGTGATCGTCCCCCGCAGGCTGTGCCACATCCCGACTGCCTCCTCGACTCGTCCTCCCCACCGTCTCGCTCTTCATGAAGCCCTCGCGACCTACACGTCTTCCCTGGCTCTCCCGGGCCTACGCCATGGAGGTGGAAGCCCTGGGTGGGTGCCCCACCTCCTCTCCTGCTTGCTCATCTCACTGCCCCACCCCAGCACTCTTCACACCTCCCATGTGCCAGGTCCTGTCCGATGTTCCTCTCTGATCCAAACCACCCTTGAGGGTGAGCACTGGCAGGTCTTGTTTTATAGATGGAAAACCTAATGTTCAACAACATCGACTTGGTCAAGGCCAAGTCTAGTAAGTGGTGGAGCAGGCTTTAAACTGTGGCTTGACATCAAGACAGGTGAGAGTCACCACGCTCAACTTCCACGAAGTCGGAAGGTTAGCACCTGCTGTGCTGTTCAGCCCAGGCTCTTCCCATCTTTCCCTCTGTCACTTTCACCTCACCCTCATTACCTCGTCATCTTAAGATGGCTGCTCAGCTCCGGACATCACATAGAGCTCCAAATCAGAAAAGGGTGGACTCCATCTGTCCCCCTCCACACTAACTGCAAGGCAGGCTGGGAATTCAGGGAATGTCATTATTAACAGTTGGCCTAGATCAAATGCAATTCACTAATTGGGGCGGAACTCACTGCTGCCCTCAATAAACGTCGAGTTCTGCTAGCAAGGAAGAAGGGGGTCGTGAGGATGTGGGGCGGCACACAGGCCTGCCCCCACCATCCTGGCCAGCGGAGGGCTCTGCCCACCCAGCCCCTCCCCGGGCCTGCCGGGGAAACCCGCTCTCAAGCATCACGTAGCAGCTCCCACGCACTTCCTTCTCACAGCCAGGCAGTCTTGGTGCACTTCCCCTGCCTTCCGACGCGCCTACTTCCAGGACAGGAATATGACAGCATTCAATTATGCATGCATGTGCTCTCCCCACAAATGCCCACGGAGCACTTGCTGTTTGCCAGACACAATCAGGAGCCAGGGCTTCAAGAGTGAACAAATTAAGTTGCTGTTTGGCTGTTGTCTTCATGGAGCTGTCAGTCTAGTGAGAAATTCAGCGTGGCACGGTCACAGGAGGAAAGGAGCGCACCTCTCCAGGCCACACGCCGCCGCACGGCAGGCCTGCCCTCCCGGCCCACCCGCACTAGGGCGGATCTCGCACAGAGTACAAGCACCACCCCTCCTCCACTCAGGAAGCCTTTGAAATGGGCTTCATTTTTAAAAAAATATATATACATTTGAAAGAGCTACAGAGAGACAGATCTTCCATCCACTCGTTCACTCCCTCGATGGCCACAATGGCTGGGGCTGGGCCAGGCCAAAGCCAGGAGCCAGGCTCCATCGGGTCTCCCTGTGGGTGGCAGGGGCTCACGCATTTGAGCACTGGCTGCCTACCAGGAAGTGCACTAGCAGGAAGCTGGACTGGAAGCAGAAGCAGGCATCGAACCCCAGCCTTCCCACGTGGGATACAGGCATCCCGAGTGGCACCTTAACACAGAGTGCACCCACCCCAACTGTATCTATTTTCATCTCCTAGAAAGGCAGAGTGACACACACAGAATTCTCCATTCAGTGATTCACTCCTCAGAGGCCTCAACAGCCCTGGCTGGGCCAGGCCAAAGCTAGGAGGCTGGAGCTCCACCTGGGTCACCCACAAGGGAGCTCCCGAAGCAGCTCCTGACTCTTGGCTTCCACCTGGCCCAGCACTGGCCGTTGCAGCCATGTGGAGAGTGAACCAGAGGATGGAAGATCTGTGTCTCCTCCTCTCTCTAACTTTCAAATAAATAAATCTTAAAAAAATAAACCCTCCTGCTCTGCTTCTGAGCCCGGCTCTTGCCAATGCACCTGGTCCTCTGCGGTACCTGACGACTGTCCCTGCACTGTGGCAGGCCTCTTCCCAGGAAAGGCTCCGCGCGCCTCAGCCGACCCTTCGCAGCCCAGGTGCTCAGGATGCGTGTTTTCTGCTGAAGGCGCTGTCTGGTTTCTGCACACGGGCATCTCGGCGTCGGTGCCATCGCTGCAAGTGATTCCGGAAGCATCCACCCCTATCCCCTCGCCGATTCGGCGTAGGTACAGCAGTTCTTCCAATACCCTGTTCTGCTGCCCTCTCCACTACTGGGAGCCAGGCAGGCAGACAGGAAAGAAAAATAATACAACCCCTGCTTTTCTGTGCTTCTGTTGCCATGGTGATACCGACACCCAGGTGAGAGGTGCTTTATTCGGGAGAGCCAGTGAACTGTGGAGGCCAGAGTCCGGGGCAGAAACACCGACGCCCCTCAGCCTCCCAAGCCTGGGAAGGACTTCATGGGGTGGTCTGGTCCATGCCCCTGCCTTCCAGCTGAAAAGTCAAATGGACAGTTTGTGGCTGCCACCCTCAAGAACACAATCTACCACCTTCAAGTCGTGCATGGGTCACGTTTCAGCTTTGCAGACTCATGACCCTCAATGGGTTTCCAAGTCTCATCTTTCGATGTCCTTCCAGCCCAGTCTCTCATCACTGCCCCTGTGGAAGCACAGTGGGGGTCGGCGCGGTGGCGTAACAGGAAAAGCCACCGCCTGCAGTGCCAGCATTCCAAGTGGGTGACGGTTCAAGTACTGGCTGCTCCTCTTCCAATCCAGCTCTCTGCTATGGCCTGGGAAAGCAGTAGAAGATGGCCCTAGTCCTTGGGCCCTTGCACCCACATGGGAGACGACCGGAAGAAGCTCTTGGCTCCTGGCTTTGAATTGGTGCAGCTCCGGCCATTGTGGTCATTTGGGGAGTGAACCAGCGGATGAAGACTAACCTCTTTCTCCCCCCCCCAACCCCCTGCTCTCTGTAACTCTGCCTTTCAAATAAATAAATAAATCTTAAAAAAGAAAGAAAGGAAGGAAGGAAGGAAGGAAGGAAGGAAGGAAGGAAGGAAGGAAGGAAGGAAGGAAGGAAGGAAGGAAGACAGTGAATCAGCACCTCACACCCTGCAGTAGCCCTGGAGAAGGCAAAGGGAGTGGTCCCCTGGCTCCTGTTCCTCTCCGAGCCCCACCCTGGTTCTTTGCACCCTGCTGGCCCCGGGAGTGAGGGGCCAGTGTGGGAACAGCAGGAGGCCCTTGGCGGCCAACAAAACATCTAAGGAGCCAGAGTGAGGCGAGAGCCCGCCCACCCCGCCCGATGTCCTCCTCCTTCCAGTGAATAAAACAGAGCGCAGGAAGGGCGGTTTTAAGGAGGATCTTTAACAGCCTCCCAGACAGCAGACAGAGCCCAAGGCAGCTTGGAAACCCACGCGGATGGCAACAGGCTCTCATGCTCCCCGAAGACCCTGTAAAACAGAAATGGCTCCACTGAACCCGTGTGGCCTTTCCCTCACGCTCACACGGGTAAGTGAACGCAGGAAAGAAAGAATAAACAAACCACCCCAGCCTTCAAAATGCTTCCAGGGGTCATCCCGCCCGAAAATCCTGGCCCAGGCTGGGTTGATGGTGAGGGGTGTAGGATGGCACCCAATCCAAGAGGCCACTGGGGAAATTGCCCCCCCCCCCCACGGGGCCAACAGAGAAAGGGCCCTTTCCCATCCTGGTCCCCTCTACCCCTGAACCGCTCCCGTTCCCACTCTCGTCACCACATCGCTGCATCAGGATTCCTGCGAGACCAACCCTGGGCCTCGCTCCAGCTCCCAATCCCCCAAAATAGAGTCAAGAAAACTAAATCGCGCGTCGCACTTGCGCCACTCGCTTGCTTTCCTACGCCGACGACGGATAAAGCAGCCTCTGGCTGTAAGCGAGGTTAACACCCACCCAGAGGCTGGGTCCTGGCTGGCCTCGCCCAGCAGCTGAGCATCGCGATTCTGCTAATTAAGCTGCTTTCTTGTCTTTAATTAGCTGCCTGTGAATCTTGTTGGGAAGTCTTGGATCCGTGAAATAATCTGGGATGGAAATCAAAGAGAAGAAATCATCTTCACTCAGGGGAGGGGACTGGGAGGAAGGCAGCCTACTCTGCTAAAAGTGCTGCTGGCTTGGTCCTAGCAGCAAGGTCGCCGGTGGCCCCCGACGACAGAACATGAGCAGTCACGGCAAATCCCTGTGGTCACTGGCCCAGCCGAGCAGTTCTGAGCCTTCCAGAAGAGCTCAATCGGCTGGCGCCCACTGCCCACCCGCTGCACCCTGCACCCTGCACCCTGGGCGCTGGCCGGTCTGCTTGCTTGACGCATGGGGAGCCGTCACACAGTTCAGGGATTCTCTGGGCTTTCTGCTTCCAGCCCTTCTTGGGGCCCAAGTAAATGCCAAGTATTATTCTCGTCTCCTCAGCCTGCCAGCTCCCGTCTCCGAGCGATCACGCCTTCTCTGCGTACACGCTCTCTGAGGGGGCCAGGCTCCCGCAGGATGCTGGCAGGAGGGGCTTTGTGCACCCAGCGGGATGTGCATCAGAGGCAGCATCTGCTGTGGCAGCACACGTGTACCGAGATGCAGTTGGATGCGCTGTGGGGACACAGCGGGCCCCAAGACGTCTGCCAGCCCAGCCGTTCCTGCTAAATACCATTGACCTTAAGCCATCTCGGGCAGCCAGAGTCCATTAGAATCAGCTGGGGAGCCTTTAAAACTGTGGATGCTGGGTCCCACCCCAGGCTAATTAAATAGAAACCTCTGGGGGTGGAGCCTGAACACCAGCATTTTTAAAAAGCTCCCAGGTGCCGCTAGTGCACAACCAGGGCATAGAACGCACTTCGAGGTGCGCGGGACGAGAACGGCCAGCACGCTCCCTCAGACACTGAACTCCTAGCCCTCACCGGGAGGGAGCTCCACCCAGGTCCTGTCTCATCCCGAGGAGACGCCAGGGGACGCCTCTGGGGAAGCAGCACCCAGGCTGAATTCCCAATATTACTGCCAGCTCTCTGCCACCCGGCACTGCCGCCACCTTACTCACCTGCCGCAAATTCTCGGATGTTGTCTGGTCTCTTCAAAAACATTTCCCTGGAACACATTCAGGGACAGGGCGGGAGGGAGAGTGGGCGTTAAGGCCCGTGGCTGATCAGCCCGAGCCACAGCCACCTTGGGAGCCAACACACAGCCCACATCTGATGGCCCAGCCCCTTTCAACGGCCATGTTCCTCCAACTTGGGATGTCAGGCAAGGCGCAAAACGCCCTAAGTGGCAATCAAGCTAGGACACTGGCCTCATCACTAACAGGCTGGGGGCAGCGTTTTCACAGAACCACGTCCAGGGTGGGAAGCACAGATGAAGAGGCACGTGCCTGGGCACGGTGCTCACACGCAGCGGGACAGACCCCACAACCCTGTGGTGTCCTGAGGAGGCGCAGGCAGGAATTCCCACGCGAGGGCGGCTGGGCCGACAGAAAAGATGGCTTCCAAGGGCACAGAGGATGGACACCTTGGTAACACCTGCAGTCCCAAAGCCCTGGGAACCGAACTATGCTCTTATACCGCATAGAACTTTATGGTTCATAAACTATGTTCATAAACGCTGTCCAGGTAATGTCCCCATTTCACAAATGAAGAAACCTAACCTTCGAAGGTTAATCATTTGCCCAAGTTCATAAAGACAGTAAACAGAGAGCGGGCCCAGAACTCGGGCCTGCAAAGGCGGCGGTCTCTGCTCTCTGTCCCTTGGCTATGGGCTGCCCCACCCCAACGGCCCCACTTTCTTGTGCTCTTGGCCAAGGCTGACCCTCCAGGAAGCCCCTACCCCCAGCCTTTAAGAATTTTGCTTGGGTCCAGCACTGTGGCATAGTGGGCTAAGCTTCTACCAGCGGCACCAGCATCCCATATGGGCGCCGGTTCATATCCCAGCTGCTCCATTTCTGATCCAGCTCTCTGCTACGGCCTGGGAAAGCAGTAGAAGATGGTCCAAGTCCTTGGGCCCCTGCACCCACATAGGAGACCCAGAAGAAGCTCCTGGCTCTTGGCTTCGGATCAGCTCAGCTCTAGCCATTGCAACCATCTGGGGAGTGAACCAGCAAATGGAAGACCTGTCTCTCTCTCTTTCTCTGTAACTTTGCCTCTCAAATAAAATCTTTTAAAATAAAACTTTTGCTGGGGCTGGCGCTGTGGCATAGCAGGTAAGGCATCCCATATAGGCACCCGTTCAAGTCCCAGCTGCTCCACTTCCAATCCAGATCCTGGCTATGGCCTGGGAAAGCAGTAGAAGATGGCCCAAGTCCTTGGGTCCCTGCAGCCGTGTGGGAGACCTAGAAGAAGCTCCTGACCCCTGGCTTCGAATTGGCACAGATCTGGCCATTGCAGCCAATTGGGGAGTGAAGCAGCGGATGGAAGACCTCTCTCTCTCTTCCTGCCTCTCCTTCTCTCTGTAACTCTTTCAAATAAATAAATACATCTTAAAAAAAAAAAGTTTTGCTCCCCTTCTCCTTTGATTCAAGCTGATAATTATCAAGCACAAGTTATGTATAAATAATTTATGGGGCCAGCTCTGTGGGGTAGTGGGCTAAGCCTCCACCTGTGGTACCAGCATCCCATATGGGTGCTGGTTTGTGTCCCAGCTGCCCCGCTTCCGATCCAGCTCTCTGCTATGGCCTTGGAAAAGCAGTAGAGGATAGCCCAAGTGCTTGAGTCCTTGCATCCACATGGGAGACCCAGAAGCTCCTGGCTCCTGGCTTCAGATTGGCTCAGCTCCAGCTGTTGCAGCCATTTGGGAAGTGAACCATCGGATGGAAGACCTCTCTCTTTCTCTGCTTCCCCCTCTCTCTGTTAACTCTGCCTCTCAAATAAATAAAATCTTTAAAAAAGAAACTGCATTACATATGAGGGATTGATTTTTTTTTAAGATAAAATATAGGCTGATCTCAAAGAAGGTACAGCCAAGGAGAAGAGCACGGCTGGCGTCAGCAAGGCACGCAGAGGCACAGGGGCTTCCACAGGCAAGACAAGGGCTGAGGGGCCCCGCAGGAAGGAAGCCACGCAGGCTCTACAAACTGCGCCTTGCTTGAGGGTTAGAACGGGCTTGTAGCCACCCTTGTACCCACAGCATCCATGAGAGCGCTCAAGGAATGGTCGGTGGGATGATCCAAGTGCAGCCTGGCAGGAGTCAAGGGCGTGTGCAGGAAGGAACAGGGAGCAAAGGAAGCTGTGTTAGGCAGGGCCTTGAATGCCGGGACAGACGCTTGTCCTCAGCTCCAAAGACGGCAGGAATGCGTATGTGAATGTGCTGCAGTCACACAGTGGGACACTGTACAGGAGTAAGGTCTTCCGGATACTGAGCGGAAGCCAAGCACAAACGAGTGCATACTGTAGACTGCCAGTTACGTTAAAAGGCAAGACGAGCCTGCAGTGGAGAAGTCAGGAGACCTAGGGTTGGTTTTGGGGGGCCCCACCGGAAGGGACCACCCACAAGTCAGGCGTGGAAGTCCACCCAGCTTGGGATATGTCACTTTTCTGTACATTATGTCTCAAGAGATGCTAAAAACAAACCAAGAGAGGTGGTGGCTGTGCAGCCACCGAAGACTCTGGCCAAGGACTCATGTGATCGGTGCTGGGTCTGGGGAAGGTTCGTGCGCCTGGGAACCTGCGGAAACATCTAATCGAGTCTTTCCACAGGCTCACACCCAGCTACCACATCTGCACCCCGAAACGTTTCTAGGTGCCTAAAATGGATTGTGACTTTTCCCATTCTTCAGGTCCAAAATTCAAGGTAGTAGGAGCTCTGTGCATTGTTTATGAATACAGGCTGGACAGCTATAGCTGAACGGTCACAAACCATTAGGATCCAGAAAACCCACGTGGGAAGTTCACTTCCTGAAGCAAAGCTGAGTGTGTCTCTGGGCTCCGTGTGAGTCATGAGCAGAGCCCTGCAGAACTGAAAACCACTCTCGCCGTGGTGCAGCAGGTTAAGCCCCTGCCTGCAACGCCAGCATCCCATATGGGCGCCAGTTCAAGTCCCAGCTGCTCCACTTCCCATCCAGCTCCCTGCTAACTGGGAAAGCAGTAGAAGATGGCCCAAGTGCTTGGGCCCCTGTCATCCTTGAAGGAGATCCAAATGGAGTTCCAGGCTCCTGGCTTCAAGCCCTGGTCCTTGAGGCCATCTGGAGAGTGAACCAGTAGAAGCAAGATTCTCTCTCTGTCTCTGTCTCTCTCTGTAATTCTGCTTTTCAAAAAATGAATGAATCTTATAAAATCAAAAACCAAAGCACAGGCACAGTGCTTGGGACTCGGTCCTCTTTGCCCCTGCCTCCTTTCTCACAGGAAGGATCACGTGAAGCATCGGGTTCAGATGTGTGGCTGACTCTGGCTCATTCTGGAACAGGCACAGGAAACACCACCAGCAGCAAACACACACAGGGAAACCCTCAAACTTCAAATGCTACCTGTCTCCCCAGCTCCACCCCGGAAAAGAAAGGCCCAAAGGGGCCAGGAGGGCTCCAAGTGGGGTACTTCAGGGACTCCAGAAGGGAAAGCATGGAGGCCTGCCTGGCCTGGGGGGGGCAAGGAAGGAAGGGGAAGGGGTCAGAGGGTGTCCAGCAGCAGCCAGGCCCAGACACCGGTCTCCTCCTGAAAAAGCAACAACACCCTCCTCATTCACCACCCCAGGTGTTTGTGAATAATGCAAATGGTGATTTAATTCAGGCTTTTAACGTCCATCCTCAATTTCTCCGCTGGAACCACTCCTAACTTGGACTGCAAACTCCCCAGGATAGGAATATAAAGATTCTTTATTTTCCTGTAGAAGAAAAGTTGCAACAAGTGATGGCATCATCCCCAGGTCTGAAACGGACAGACCACCCTGCCTTTCGCCCAGGCCTTACCCCTGGCCTAAATATACCTGACCTTCACAGAGAACTGGGTACCTTTTAGTTTCCCATTTCCTTCTCCTATCTGCCCTCTGAGTCTCCTACACTTGGAAAAATGGTAAGGGGCCAGCACTGTGGCATAGCGCATAAAGCTACTGCCTGTGACACCAGCATCCATATGGGCACCGGTTTGAGTCCCGGCTGCTCCTCTTCCAATCCAGCTCCCTGCTAATGGCCTGGGAAAGCAGTGGAAGACGGTCCAAGTCCTTGGGCCCCTGGACCTGTGTGGGAAACCTGGACGAAGCTCCTGACTTCTGGCTACAGACTGGCCCAGCTCTGGCTGTTGAAGCCACTTGGGGAGTGAACTGGTGGGTGGAAGATCTCTCTCTATATATAACTCTGCTTCTCAAATAAAAAATAATAATTAAAATAAAAAGTTCAATCTTACGATATTTTCCAACTTTAAGGAAGTTGGAAGCAATAGGGAGTGTTTAAGGAAATATATATATATGTGTATATATATATAGGCTAGCAGTTACGCCAAGAGGTTCCCCATCCCATCCAGCTTCCTGCTAATGCAGACCCAGGAAAGCAGCTGTGATGGCTCAAGTAACTGGGTTCCTACCACCCCAAGGGGCAACCCCGGATTGCATTCCTGGCTCCTGGCCCAGTCCCCAGCCCTTTCAGGCATTTGGGGGCAAACCAACCACGAAGGGGGCATTTATATTCCTCTAACCCCAACAAGATCCGGTCCAGTTTCTCCCAAGATGCCCAAAGCCAGGCTGGAAAACCACCCACCTTAAGAAACCACTGATGAGAAACTCCACTTCTTTGTGGGCCCTCAGGTACTTCTCGTTGGCAATCCGAGTCTCAATCTGGGGGGACAAGAGCAAAGGGTCCCGTTCCCCGAGACACCCAGTTCCCAAGCCTGGAGGTGTGAAGGGGGCCCAGCTCTGAGCCCAGATGCTCGGAAGCTACAGCCGGGGTCTAGGGGATTCAGCGCCGCCGGCCGCCTCTTGCTTGGGGGTCAGGGGCCTGAGCCGAGTCGGACCCCCACGGTCCTGGCTTGTTTCTAACTTGATGTGTCCGGCGGTAGTTCCTACCCGCTTCTCGGGCCGGACCCCTGCTTCAGCTCCTCCTGCGCGTCCACATGGCCGCCCGCGGTGCAGGGTCCCGGGGGCCTCCCTAGCACCCCCCTCCGGCCCCCAGGCACAGGCTCCTGCTCGCCTGCTCTCGGGGGCCCTCCTACCCGTCCGGGGGGACCCCGGTCCTAGCGGAGCCGCACTTTGACGGAGGTTTGCGGGGGTGCGGGCGTACCCACCTTGAAGACTCGCAACTTCTCCAGCTGCTCCGGGCTCAGCAGCCCGGGCTCGGGCCCCAGCAGCCCGCTCGGCAGCGTCGCCATCTTGTCGCGGTTGTCCGGGCGACCGGCCGCGGCCCCGCCCCCGCCCCGCCGCCCCCACCCCCTCCCCCAGTCCGGCCGTCCTGGGCAGGGTGTGGGGGGCGTCGTCGGGGAGCCCCCCGGGAGGAGGGACCCTGGGGCAGCGCTGGAGAAAGCCCGGTCCCCGCGTGTGAAGGCTGGTGGCTGGGCTTCACCGAGTGTGGAGGGACTCCACCCTACCCCAAAGAGTTGCCCCCCCCAGGTCTAGAGCAAAACAGGGAATGGGGGTCCCAAGGCAGGGTCTCCCAGAACCTGGTTCCCGACTCTCACCTGGGCAGAAGCTGGAGGAAGCAAGGCTTCCGCCTTCCCACGGGCCCAGAAGTCGGCCCTTGGGTTGTCCCCAGCCAGGACTCGGCGGGAACTTAGTTCTGCAAAGGAAGAGCTGTCTGGCCCTGAGGATGCTGGCCACGGCCTGGGGGACATCTCCCAGAGTTTGCCCTCGTGGACTGAGTTTTGGTGTGGGTTAATTTTCTCCTTACCCTGGGCACCTCATACATTCTCACACTCCCGACTGAACTGGGGAGGGAAAAGGCAATTGATCTTCAAGATTTGTTCTCCTAGTGTCCAATTAAGAAGGGCCAGCGAAACAGAAAGCCAGAGAGCTGAAAATAGCCGGCTGGAAAGGGCAGGAGCCTGCGGGCGCTCAGGCGCCGGGCTGTGTGCTGCGTGCCCCCGCAGAGGCAGCGCCCAGCTTCCCTGCCCAGAGGCTGCGGGAATGGAGCCGAAAGGGAGGCTGCCTTCTCAGATGTGTGAACAGCTGTCCCAGGCAGCAAGAAAACTGCCTGAGAATCCCACTCTGCATTCGGAAGAGAAGTGAAAATGCAGGCAGTTCCCAAGCCAGGGAGGAACCAACAGATAAATTAAGGAGTGGGCTACAAGCCTCCTGCCAACAACCCCATCTGGGTTGGTTGTTTTTTTAAAAGAGAGAGGTAATAGAGTGAGAGGGAGATAAGCTGCCATCTGTCACCGGTGATGTTTTTCCTGCAGGAGCAGAGGTTAGCCAGACACACATTTCCTGCTCCCCTGCCACATCCTGCCCTTGCCCCAGGTGACAGTGGTGGAACCCTCAGAGCAGGGTGGCCACAAGCCACCTGTGGCTCTTCACTTGAAATGTGGCTGTGAGTGTTACATATGCTAGGGATGTAAAACACACTCTGGACTTGGCAGAGCTGGTATGAAAACAATTATGTAAACTGTTTCAATCATCTATATATTGATTGCACGTTGAAACAGTGTTTTGGGGGCCAGCGCTGTGGCTTGGGTTAAGCCTCCACCCGCAGCACTGGCATCCTATAGGGGAGCTGGTTTGTTCCTGGCTGCTCCTCTTCTGATCCAGCTCTCTGCTAATGTGCCTGGGAAAAGGAGTGGAAGATGGCCCAAGTGCCTGCACTCATGTGGGAGATCCGGAAGAAGCTCCTGGCTCCTAGCTTCTGCCTGGCCCAGCCCCAGCTGTTGCGGCCATTTGGAGAGTGAACCAGCAGATGGAAGATCTTGATCTCTCTTTCTCTCTCTCTTTGTCTCTCTCTCTCTGTGTATCTCTGTCCTTCAAATAAATAAATCTTTTAAAAAAGAAAAGAAATAGTATTTTGAATATATCAAGTTAAATAAAATGTATCATTGGAGGCTGACATTGTGGAGCCACTGCCTGCAACACCGGCATCCCATATGGGTGCCCGTTCATGTCCTGGCTGCTCCACTTCAGATCCAGCTCCCTGCTGATGACCTAGGAAAAACAGCAGAAGATGGCCCAAGTGTTTGGGCCCATGCCACCCACGTGGAAGATTTGGATGAAATTCCTGGCTCCTGGCTTCAGCCTGGCCCAGCCCTGGCTGTCTGGGGAGTGAACTCACAGATGAAAGATCTCTCTTTGTCTCTTCTCTCTCTGTAACTCTGACTTTCAAAATAAATAAATCTTAAAAAAGAGAGAGGGAAATGTATTGTTAAAAGCCATTTCACTTGTTTCTGTTTACTTTTTTAATGTGGCTACTAGAAATCCAAAAATTACGTATGTGGTTTGCATTGTATCAGTGCAGGAATCTGGACTGGCTGACCTCTGCCCTCGCATGCACTCACGGCTCTCAGTTCCCACTCCCATGTAGAAGCAGCTGGTGTCCTTCTGTGGCTAGTGTATGATGCTCCGTGTTTCCAGAATCCATTTGTTGCTGGGGTACACCGGATGGCCCAAAGGCCCATGTATTAGAGAGGCCCGTGTTCCTTCCTGACGGCCTCTCAGTACTTGCTAGTACATACCGTGCTGGCCGTTGTCACCGTCCCACTTGAAGTAGAAGCCACTTGAGAGCAGGAAAGTCACACAACCAAGTCTCTGCACCCTCACTAAGTCTGCCATGAAAGTCTTCCCTTAGTGAAGCGAGCAGGAGTTTGGTAACTAAACACTCTGCCTACCTATACCACCATATTTTGCCCTTTCTCGCAAATATCCCCATTATCCAACATTTTTCATTTCCTAGGAATCTGAAACCAGGAATGCAGCTCTCCCTTTGTCGAGCCAGTACTCTCTCTCTCTCTCTCTTGCTTTTTGTTATTTTTAAGTTATTTATTTATTTGAAAGTCAGAGTTACGGTAGGAGAGAAAGAGAGAGATGTTCCATTGCTGTTTCACTCCCCAAATGCCCACAACAACAAAGGCTAGACCAGAAACTCCATCCTGGTCTCCTGTGCGGGTGGCGGGAACCCAAATACTCGAGCCGTTATCCACCATGTCCCAGGCGTTGTAGCAGGAACTAGCCAGGCCTGGAACTAGGCGCTCTGATTTGGGTGCAGGTGGCCCACCCACTCCCAGTCACTGTGTGTGTGGAGGGCAGCTCCATAAAACCTGACTGCGGAGAAGTAAGACAGAGGGCGGGCTTGGGGAGGGTGGGCAGAGAAAGGCTCTTGCAGGAACTAGGGTTGGCAGCTTCATTTCCAGGCCCTCGTTTCTCAAGTTTCTTCCTGGAGAGAAAGGGCCCAGGATGGGCCTCTGGGCCACAGAGCTTTTCCTCATCACTACCGGACCGGGCTCCCATCACCTATGGCCCAGAAGAGCTTCAGAGATGAGTCCACAGTCGCTCAGCGAGGAGGGTCTTCTACCCCCAACCCTGCCTCTCTGCTCCCCGACACCTCCGCTCTTGGGATCTCAGGCCAAGAGAAGGAGGCACTTCACTATCCCCTGCTGTCTCCCCAATTACTGACAGGGAGGAATGAAGGGAACTCATTGTAATTCATTTTTGTGACTGTTTAATAGTTCAATTAATATGATTAGCCCCAAGCCTGAACAAGCAGCAAGGCGGCAGATCTGCTGAGAAGACACAGAGTAATGAGATCAGCGGGGCTGTGGGGTCTTCCCCTTCTTCCTCAGAGGGCGTGATCTGTTTAGCATCTCCATAAATACCGAGATCAGATTAGAAGCCAAGAAGGAAGAGTGGGGGTGGGGCAGATGAGGGAAAAGTTAACTTGGAGAAGTGTTCTTACTTTTTGACACCCTGCCCCCCACCACCACCACCGCCATCACATCTTCCACCTCCCCCATCCCACCCCGTCTCAGGGCACCCTACCGGGCCGACCTGAGAATTCGCAGGATGAAGTGTAACAAAGTGCACACACATGTTCACTCGAACACAGGCACAGAGCAGAAAGTAGCTCCAGGCCACAGAAACCGAGGCTAAGGAGGATGGCTGGTGGTCAAGAGGGACCCCAGGAATAGAAGGAAGGAGTATTTCTCACCAGCAACAGCTCCCCCAAAGACTGAAGGGGAGGAAAGACCAGGCTCGACACTGCCCCATACCCAAGAGGAATGGCTGACGTGAGCATTTGGACAGTGAACCAGTGGGGGGGCTTGCCTTGAGTCTCCCCACCCCTGCGGCCCCCCCACTGCCTCTCAAATAAAATTTCTAATTAAATGCATGACTCAGGAGCCAGGCTGCCTGTCTCCGACCTCAGCTCTGCCTCCTTTCTGCTGCATGGGCTCAGGCGGGTTATTTAATTTCCCTGAACCTTAGTTTCTCCATCTGTGGTTGGAGATAAGGCCAGAACCTGTATCATAGGGTGGTGGCGAAAGTGGAAGGAGCAAGTCTGAAGCACTTGGGACAGTGCCTGGGACCCTGTAAGTGCCATAAAAGTGCGTTATTATTTCACCTCTAGAAGAGGGACCTGCCTGCCTTGAGTGCTCAGGGATTCCACAAGGACACATCCTGGAGACCCCAATACCACCATGGAGACATCAGCCTCATGCTGGGGTGAAGAAGGGAAAGACAGAGGAAGGGTGCATGGACCCCAGTCAGTAAGCACCTGTGGGAGAGCCAGGGTGGTTCCCTGTGGCCCCAGGAGGCTGCATGCCAGCAGGTGCCTCCTGCAGCCAGGTGAGTGGGCCCAGTGCGGGCAGGGGTCAGATTCCCTTCAGATTATGGACTGTGGGGGTCATCCACAGGATAGCTGTTTAGGGGCATCATGGCGCCCCCATGGGCTCCCCCTCCCCAGCTCCTCTTTGCTGCCTGCCTCCATTAGAGTTCCACTCAAGAAACCTATCAAAAGCAGAAGCAAGTGAAGGAGCCAGTGGGGTTCTCCGCCCCCAGCTTCATGGCTGTGGCTCTTCCCGCAGGACCAGGAACCGTCGGCCCTCTGGAGTTCCTCGAATGAAGTGTTTGTCAAAGCAGCCACCGTGCCCGGTGCTAGACACTGTGAACAGTCAGATGCTGAATTCTGCCCAGCCCCGGTCTTCAAGGAGCTTACAAGTGAGCGCGAGTTCCTGCCCACGCACTTGTACACACAACCCCCCCAGAGGGGGAGCAGGGGGTGCCGGCAAACCGACGCGGAGCTAGAGTTTCCCTTGGTTCCTTTTCTGGAAAATAGACAGTTCTACCTACACTCACCTCACCCCTGCCCTCCCCTTCCCCACCTCCCTTCCTGGTTTCCTCTCTATCCCTCTTCCCTCCCCCCCAACTCTGCAACCTGCCTCCCCCCCCCCCCGCGCTGCCCCCTCCCCCGTCTGTAGCTTCCTCCTTCCTCTTCAAGCTGTCCGACTCCTCTGTTCTATTTTCTTTCCCCTGATTTCTTTTCTTGGCTCCCCAGATGTCAGGCTCCCCTCTCCCTCACCCCCACCCCCACCCCCCAGCTCCCAGCTCCTGGGTCTTCTCTTCCAGCACCGGGGACAGCTCCAGCCCCCGGAACAATGGACCCCACCTTAGGGCTCCTCTATAAATTCTCCATCTTAGTGCCTTGCCCAGCTCCCGACTGGGGAGTAAGCTGGGGGAAGGGCCATTATCAACAGGACCAGCTGCTCTTCTGGGGGCGGGAAGGGAGTCACGGAGGATGGAGATAGGCAGAGGGCGTGGCTCTTGCCTGGATTGTGCGTCCCTCTCCAGGGTAGAGAATTTGTATTCTACCCCTGAGACTGACATCACTGATGTCAGGGGAAAGGAGGTGGGAGTGGGGAGGGGGGTGTGGAGGGGGGAGGTTTTTGTTGAGGAGAGCGCGGCCGGAGAGCAGAGCTCCGGGACCCAGGTGACCGGGAAGGCAGGCAGCCCCAGCGGCGGGAGCAGCCGGCAGCAGCCCAGGCCCAGGGACCTGGGACAGGGGTGGGGTGGGAGGGGGGCTGAGGGGAGGACCTGAAGGGGGGCGGCAGGGCAGGAGGGACCCCTGGAGCCCTGCCGCCATCAGAGATCAAGCTTCTGGCATCAGGGATCTTCGGACCCAGCAGAAGGATCAGCCTCAGGGGAGGTGTCTTCCCCAGGGAAGCCAACGAGAGCTCCACCTGCCCCACATCAGGAGTGGGCCCCTCACTGACGCTGCTGACAACCACACCAGGCCCCTAACCCCTCAGTCTCCACCCCCTCACGCCCCTCAGGCCCTTTCCCCCACCCCCACTCCTCTCTGTACCCTCAAGCCCCCACCCCACCCCCCAATCCCACTCCAAGCCCAGCGCCCCTGCTACCACCCTAGCCCTCCAGGTCTCGGCCACACTGACCCCTCCCTGGGACATTTGCCCAGGTCTCTGGGAGGGGGATCATTTGTTTGGGCTATGCCCCCTGGCGGCTTGACACCATCTGCCTAGACCCCTGACCCTGGCCCTCAACTTCGGGGCCTCCTTTGTGTGAAGAGCACCCTCTCTGCTTGGCAGCTCGTTTAGGGGCCACTGAGAAAGCCAGCCCCGGCTGGGCCCCCGGCCCCCATCACTCGCCTCCTTGCTGGGCAGCTCCCCCTGGCCTGTGGGCCTCTCCCTGCTCCCCTCGGCCCCTCCTCCTGGGCCGCCCCGATGAAGGAGCCGGATGCCATCAAGCTGTTTGTGGGGCAGATCCCGAGGCATCTGGAGGAAAAGGACCTGAAGCCCATCTTCGAGCAGTTTGGCCGGATCTTCGAACTGACTGTCATCAAGGACAAGTACACCGGGCTGCACAAGGGTGAGGGGTCCAGCCAGGCTGGAGAGGCTTCAGGGGGTGGGATGGGGGGCTGGGCGGGGGAAGAGTGGCTGGAGCATCGGAAGGAGCCGAGCTCAGGGGTTAGAGAGGCTGGCTTGAAGAGAGCTCAGCTAGAGTGACCAACCAGGGGGCTCCAGGACCAAGGACTGCCGAGGGCCTCTTTGGAGTGAAGACTTGTCAAGAGGGCTGCAGAGATGTGGGTCCCAGGGAGTGGGGGGTCGGGTTGAACTCAAGAAATGACTGAGAAATGAGAGAGATGGTTTGGAAGATAAGGAGCTGGGCAGGTATGTGTGTTTGTGTGTGTGTGTGTGTGTGTGTGTGTGTGTGTAAGACCCAGACTCCAAGAAGCCTCAGATAAATGTTGGGATGGGGGTTGGGACACAGGGTCAGGTGCTCAACCTGGAGGAGTGGCGATGCCTGGGCAGGACAGCCAGGGCTGGAGGGAGGGACCTGAGGAACAGGGCATGGAGGCAGAGGTTGGTGAAGTTCAGAGAGGAAGGATGCTCCTTGGGCCTGTCCCATGTCTGGCTCAGCACAGCCGGCCAAGGGCCCAGACTGGGAGAGCTCCAAGCACTGGGATCCCAGGGGCTCATTCCCTCCTCCCCTCCCTCCCGCCCTCCCTCCCTCCACCGGGCCCAGGGAAGAGGCACTTCCAGGGAAGAGGCACTTCCGGCTCACTGCTCCTCTCTCCACCCTCCACCTGCCTCCTGTGGAGTTGAGGAGCGCTGAAGGGAGGAGAGGGGCGACGGTGACCAAGATGGAGGGAGGCAGACAGAACACCTCACACTCACATGCTCCTCCCTTCTCCCCCAGCGCCCCATAGAGCCCCATCTCTGGAGGGCCCCGAGCATCCTCCCTCTCCCATCACCACGAGCACGGAGGCCTCTGGTCTCTGCCCCACGTCTGGGCAGGTGTCGACCCCTGGCCAGACACCTGCTGGCCCCAGCACATGGAAGACAGCAGAGAGGGAAAAGCTTCCTGGTCCTCAGGTTCCTGGGGGAGGGGAGACCGGGGACTCACCCGCACCCTGTCTGTCTGCCTGTGGCCCTCCCCAGGATGTGCCTTCCTGACATACTGTGCCCGCGATTCAGCCCTGAAGGCCCAGAGCGCCCTGCACGAACAGAAGACACTGCCAGGGGTGAGTCTCGCCCTCCGCAGGGCCAGCAGGCTGACCGCCACCCGCCCAAGACCCTGAGCACATTTCCCACCCCCTCTGACCAGGAAGTCCCTCTGTCTGTCCTGCATCCCTTGTTCTGGCCCTGAATGCATGCATTTCTTACCCAGCAGAGTAAACGTGACATTCACCAGGAGCAGGCAAGCGCCTTCCCCACTACCCAGCCTGCCTAGGGGGCAACACGGGGTGGGGGGCTTCACTGAAATGGAGGTGTCAGGAGAAGACTGTGGGTGCCAGGTGTGGGTCAGGGTGAGCAGGAGGCCCCCAGGCACTCTTTTGTGGCTCTGGAGAGGCAGCCTGGGTGACGGGGAGGCGGGGGAGGGGTGCCCACGGCCTGAGAACAGGCAGCTGGTGCCTGCTGGACTGGCATCTCGGAGCTAGTTTCTGAGCTCAGACAGCTCCCCCTCGGATCGCCCAGGAGGAGCCCCAGGGCAGTAGAGCAGACCAAGACCCGGGGCCGGGGAGTGGCCGATGTCAAGGTGGACTTTGAGGCCTGAGCCTGCCCAGTGTGATTTTAGGGAGGCAGAGGCGACGCTGCTGCAGCCTCCCGCCTGCGAGACCACAGCTCTCCCTGTCTCTTGCTCTTAGCTGGCCTTGCTGGTTGTCCTGAACCTGGGTGGGCGACCGAGGGCAGGAGTCAAGGCTCTCAGACTGCCCCCTGGTCATGGACCTTGGGCAGGAAGGCTGGCCTCCTCCCTCCCTGTATCTGCTTTCTCCCAGACCTGGCATCCCAGGAGGTACTTCCTGAGACCCAACTCTACCCTTGCCTTCAGCAAACATTTGCTCAGCCTGGCTTGAGGGCTGGGCACACAGCTCTCCAGGCCTCGACTCCTCCCCGTATGTGGGAAGTGGCGCAGCATGCCTGTGGGGTCTCTCCTCCCAGGAGAGAAACAGACAACGTAGATGGGGAAAGGAGACCATCAAGGAAAACGAGAACCGCTTCAAAGCGCCCCCAGCTTCAATCCCTTCATAGGGCCAGGACCCCGCCCTCCATGGCCTCAACCCTGGAGTAGGGCTAGGAAAGCAAAGCCAGACCTCGCCCCCAACTGTCTCATCCCAGTCAGTGGCAAGAACAGCATGGCCCGTGCACGTGTGTGAGCAGGCTCGGGATCCAGGGCAGGCGTGTGCTCCTGCACGCACGCATGTGAGCACCCAGCAGGCCAGATGTGTGGGGGTGTGGGCACTACCTCCCTGGGAAGCCTGGTCCCCATCTGGTCCCAACTTTGCCTTCTCCTCCCAAATCAACGTTTGGTTTTCTGTGTCTCCCTATCTTGAGGAGGGGGGAGGCCCCCCCAGAACCCAGAAGGGGTCAGGGGGAAGAGGTTGAGGCAGAAAAAGAAAGCCGGGAGTGGGGACTGGAGTGAGGGGCCTGGCTCTGGTCTGTGTGCGGCAGCCGGGGCGTCTGCACTGTCCAGCTTGCAGCTGCCTGCGTGGCTCAGGCAGAGCTCCGTCCTGTGCGCAGCTTGGGGTGAGGGAGAAGGGCGCCCAGGTTAATGATTTCCTAGCCCTGCTCCCGGGCTCCCAGATGGCGCTGACCCTTGATTTTGCCCTTGCCCAAAGGGACAGAATCCAGAGGCACCCGGAAGCTTCCAGCAGGAAACGAGGGGTTCCATCCTTCAAGGGGGACCCCCAGCCTAATGGCCTGGGGGAGCAAGCCCAGGGCAGTGGAGGGGAGCAAATGTCCCACCTGATCCCTTGTGTCCCCGCACTCGTTACCCCTGCCTCGCCCCTAGTCTGTGTGTGTGTGCGCGCGCAGTGTGTCAGCTCCCGCACACTGCTGTCGGGAAGTCCTTCTTATGTCCAATCTTCAGGGTCTGTTTTAGCAGGGCTGTTCCGCCTCTCTCCTTTCTCCCCAGCGCTGTCACCCCAGAATCTGGAAGATGCCACCATGTTGGGATGAGAGAGAGAGAATAGGGGCTGGGCCTGTGGCTGTTGAGTCTCATTCCCTCTTCCCTCATCTGAGAGCTCCCTGGAGCAGCTCTGCCACAGATGCCTGGATCTGTCCCGTGAGCAGGGTGTGGCCTCCTGGAGGCCGTGACGAGAGGGCCACCTGTCTGGCCTATCTTTGCCCTGCCACTCAGGACAAAAAATCCTGACACGGGCCATCCCCATCAGCTTGCAGCAGGGGAGGTGGCTCCTGGTCCCACGGAGCGGACCTGTCTGTGACCTGGGACACTGGAGCCAGGAGTGATAGGGCTCCAGGCCTGTGCCCATAAGAGAATTAGATTTTGTGAGGATGATGAACTCTTGCTGGAAGTGAGGGCTGTGCTGTTGGTGAGAAAGATGGGTGCACAGCGATGCTTGGTGGGGTCGAAATAGTCCCTGCTTCTCTGGGAAGCCCTGGGGAGGCGCCGTCACCTGGTGGGTGGTAGCTAGGAAGGCGAGGCGCCGCCTTGAGCAGGTTGCCAGGTAAACAGGGCACAGCTGCACTCAGGGGAGGGGGCAGGTGTGCCCGAGCAGAGCTAACAAAGCTGAGCTTCCCACAGGAAGCACCGGGCCAGGGAGGAGGCTGGGGCGTGGGGCTGGCTGGGGGGCCCCCGCGTCAGCGTGATCCTTGCCTTAGTCTGTGTACCTGTGCGTGTCTCCGTGTTTAGGGACAGGCTATTTCTGCGCTGGGAGGGAACAGCATCCTCTCTCTCTCTCTCTCTCTCTCTCTCTCTCTCTCTCGCTGCAGAACCCCAGGGGGCCGTGGAGTGGGTTAGTGCCAGGCGCGAGGATGCCCCCACCTTGTGACCCTGGTTCTGATTCTGATCTTGTGGCGTGGGGCTTCCTGTGCGGGAATCTCCTGGTCGCTCCAGCCAGAGTGCGGGAGAGCGGGAGCACAAACCCGAGCAGCTGACCCCGTGCCTCGCCTCCACCCACACACACATCCCTGAGGAGATTGAACCTTGGATGGGATAATCCTGGATTGCTGGGAGATAAAGTCCTGGGGGGAGGGGAGGGGACAGAGTGGCCAGAGGATTTGTGTGACTGTGACCCTCCCCCACCAGCTGCGCTCAGGGCCCGCGAGGTGGGGGCGGGGCCTCGGGGATGAGCATCCTTTGGGGTGGGGCTTAGACTTGATCCCTGCTAACTGGCAGGCTCTGATAGCTGGGACAAGGGTCAGGAGTGACACAGGGACAGGGGCAACAATTATTTCACACCTGTGTGCTAAGCGAGGTGTCCAGACGCTAGAACACTAGAGCAGAAGAGCACCTGACTACAGGCGGCCTGATCTGCCCCCTCGTTTTGGAGATGAGTTGGGTCCAGAGAGAAGTGGTTTGTCTGAGGTCACCCCTCATGAGCAGTCCTCAAAACCAGCTCTCTTGACTCCCAAGACAGGGCCTCTCTCTCTAGAGTACCTCCAGCCCCACCCTCTGAATGAACGGTTTACTGTATTTGAATTTTTTTGGTCTGTGGACCCGGGACTGTCCCATCATCCTATGAGTGGGGCGACCAGATGTGGCCCCAGCAGGCAAAATCCTGGATACTCACAGCAAAATGTGCTCAGACACTCAGTTCTCAGGCCTCGTCCCCCCGCTCCAGTGCCCACCCTGCTTAGAGAAATCAACCTGTGGGAGTCATTCCCAAGTCCTCTCACCAGACAAGCACATGGAGAGTGGAACTTGGAACTCCTGCCTTCCCACTGAAGGCTGAACAAAGGGAGACACGGCAGGGCTTGGGACAGGGCAGCGCTTTGCAGGGAGGATGGCGGAAGAGCATGGGGTGGCCTCTGCTCCTTGCGGTGGGCTCGGCCCCCTCTGGACACCAAGGACTTGCTCTGGAGGAGGGAGGAGGGAGAACGACAGTGTGGGCCATGCAAGGCCTGCTCTGCTCACCTCCCTCCAGAATCAGGGAGCTTTCCGGGGCCCTTCCCCCACCTCCCAGCCCCCACCAACTCCTCCACCCCAGCATACCCAGTTCCCACCCCCTCCCCACTCCTTCTCCGGGTGTGTGGAGCAGCAGAAGTGATGACGTCACCACGGTCGCCAGGGCGACAGGGACGGATAAATCAGGCTGAGTGGGCGGTTGCCATGGTGCGCATTCTCCCGTTGCTACGGAGACTGGGCATCTGCTCCCTTTGTGCTGCCCGAGTGCCTTCCCCCTGGGGTCAAGGGGTGTAGGGGGGCAGAAGAAGAGGCAGACACACCTCCAGGGGTCAGAAGGAAGTCGGGGTTTCTGTGGGGTCTCCATGGGTATAGAGTCCCTCTTGGGGCTTCATCATGGGGTAGCCTTTATGGCCTCCCACTTTGGAGAACTGAGGCAGCTCTTGGAGTAGCCTGTTGGTTGGGCTCTGTCTCAGGATCGGGGTCCTGTGGGGAGGGCCCCTCTTCTATGCCAGTGGGAGCCACATCTGCCCCTGGCTCAGTTGTCGGGGGCTCCGCCTAAGCCTTGGGTATTTCCCACAAGCATCCTCCTGGCCACCCTCTTGCCCCACTGTTTCTAATCCCCAGCTCTAATCCTATATGGGATCAGGCCCTGTCCTTTCCCTCCCGTTGGGAGTCTAGAAGCTGGGGAGACACCAGGGTCTGGGTCTGGGTCTACCTCCCTTTGGCCAGGGGAGAGAGAGGAGGTTCCCCGGCAGCTGCCTTCTCTTCTCTCCTATAGATGAACAGGCCGATCCAAGTCAAGCCAGCCGACAGCGAGAGTCGAGGAGGTAGGTCCTGTACCTTTGAACTTGGCCCTTCTCTTCCCAACCCTAGACCCAGGACTTGGCGTAGCCTTTATTGAGGAAAATAAATAAATAAAAACTCTGACAGTTCTATGAAGGGTTCCTGGTCGAGGTGGGGATTGGAGGCAGTGTAGCTAGAGGGGGTGAGAGCTGGCCCATTGTAGAGATGGCAAAACTGAGGCCCAGAGTGGCCTGTAGGTCCTTCAGCACTGGGATGAGCACTGTGTACAATCTATACCCCATTCCCCGGCTGTCACCCTCTACATCCCCTGGGTCCTGGGGTCCGGAAGTAGCGTTAGGAGTTGCAGGGAGGGAGGTGACGGGGCTGAGAAAGCAGCCAGGAGGCCCTGAGCACACCCCTCCTCCTGTGCCCTCCCCACCCAGAAGACCGGAAGCTCTTTGTGGGGATGCTAGGGAAGCAGCAGACAGATGAGGACGTCCGCAAGATGTTCGAGCCCTTCGGGACCATAGACGAGTGCACCGTGCTCCGGGGGCCCGACGGCACCAGCAAAGGTAGCCCCGCCCCGCCCCCTCCCGCCGCTTCCTCCCGCGGGCGGCGAGCTCCCAGGGGGCGCTGTGCGCGCCCTAGTCCTCCGGCATCTCCATCTCTCCAGGCTGCGCCTTCGTGAAGTTCCAGACCCACGCCGAGGCCCAGGCAGCCATCAACACCCTTCACAGCAGCCGGACGCTGCCGGTGAGCCCTGCTCCCCTCCCTTGGGGCTGCCTTTGCCACCCGGGCGCTGGCCGAGAAGGGTGCCAGTCAGGACCTGAGACTTCATGCCGAAGGAGTGTTCTGGCAGGGGAACCCCTCACATTTCAGATCGCCTTCCCGCTCCTAGGGCCAACCCGCGTGCTCACTCGGTTCCTTCCCCCTCCTCTCCTGCCGCCTCCGAGCCTCAGCCCTGCTCTCTCCTCCCTTCTCTTTCCCGCACCTGCTTTGCTGCGACCGTGGCCCTGAGGTATTCGGTTGATCGGATGTGGCCTCGTGAAATGACCCTGGGCCCCATCCGGCTCTGGGATTCCAGGGTTCTGTGACAATCCACTTTGGCTTTAGTTTGGCCCAGGCTGAGGTTCACACGTGAGGCTTCCTGCCCTGAGGCCAGGGGCTGGGGAGGCTTGGTGGTAAGGGAGGCAGGGCAACCGCAAGGCAGGAGCCGCCCAGGGTAAGCTGCCCCTTATGCCCAACCCCGAAACCTCACCCCGGCAGAAGGCCCTCCGGTGCCTGGTGCCTGGCTCACACACCTCCTAGTGCAGGCAGACGTGCTGTTAAAATCTCCCCAGTGGACACAGGCATGGTGAGGGTTCATAGGCACCACGGGGAGACTCAGGCAGGCTCTCCCAAGAGGCCAAGCCGTCAGGGTAGCGCCCAGGCCAGTCCCAAGGGCTCTGGGGAGGGGCACCTCCGCTCCGTGCCTCTGACCTGCATGCGGGGTGGGGGGCCGGGCCCAGGGTGCCTCCTCCAGCCTGGTGGTGAAGTTTGCTGACACCGAGAAGGAGCGCGGTCTCCGGCGGATGCAGCAGGTGGCCACCCAGCTGGGCATGTTCAGCCCCATCGCCCTCCAGTTCGGAGCCTACAGCGCCTACACCCAGGCCGTGAGCACTGACCCTCCCGGCCCCCTGTGTCCTGCCTCCATGCTTCCAGCGCTAAGGCTCAGGGAGGGAGGGAGCTGGGCCAGGGTGCGGGGAGCTGGCCCCACTCTCTCTCCGCCTCCCCCCAGCTCATGCAGCAGCAGGCGGCCCTGGTGGCGGCTCACAGTGCCTACCTCAGCCCCATGGCCACCATGGCTGCCGTGCAGATGCAGCACATGGCCGCCATCAACGCCAACGGCCTCATCGCCACCCCCATCACCCCATCCTCAGGTAAGGCCTGGGCGAGGTAGCAGGGCAAGGGAGTGTTGGCTGCAGGTGGGGTGGGGAGGGGGCACAGGGCTTGCTTGGGGAAGCCTGGAGGTCCGGGAGGGGCCGGGGAGGGGTCAGAAGGCAGCCTGCTTCCTCCCCCAACGCCCCGCCCCCAGCCCTCGCTGACTTGTTCTCTGCATCTCTGTGTGTGTGTGTGTGTCTGCTTCTCTTCTCTGTCGCTGTCTCCTCCCTAGGAACCAGCACCCCTCCTGCCATCGCTGCCACGCCCGTCTCTGCCATCCCTGCTGCCCTGGGCGTCAACGGCTACAGCCCGGTGCCCACCCAGCCCACTGGGCAGCCTGCCCCTGATGCTTTGTATCCCAACGGGGTTCACCCCTACCCAGGTGGGGCGCTCTGCCTGCCCAGCCCTGCCCCAGCCACCACTCCCATCTCTGGCGGCATGACGCACCTCCCCTCTCCAGCCTTGGGGTTTTGGGGTGCTTCCTCCTGCTCTGACATCCTGGGCAGGACTGCGCCTTCCCGTGCTGGGCCCGACAAGCTAAGGGTCAGATCCAAGCCTCCCCAGCGCTGGGCGCACCCCTTCTTCCCACTGCTTTGTGCACTTACATCTTCTCATTGCACACGCCATGCCCAGAGCGGCTCCCCAGCCTCTGCTCAGAGAGGTGCGGGGGAGGGGCGGTTCCCGCTGTGGGCCAGGCCACCTCTCACTGTCCTGTGCTGCTCCCTGCAGCCCAGAGCCCCGCGGCCCCCGTGGACCCCCTGCAGCAGGCCTACGCGGGGATGCAGCACTACACAGGTGAGGGCCGGCCCTGGCCCCTGTCTTGGGGGGGAGAGGTGGCAGGAGGAACTGAGGCCCACACGAGGCTGGGGGCGCATGGCTCCCTGCCGGCCACCCACCCCAGGCTCGGCTGGCAAGCCACCCATGTGCGGGTGAGTCTTTAGGGGCAGAGCAGCAGGGGCCAGGCAGCTCGTTGCCTGGCAGCCTCCCAGCCCCATCGATGCTGTTGGCTGGGCAGGGCAGGGAGCCGGGGTTGGCTGGAGGGGGGGCCCTGGAGTCTGGGCAGTGTCACCGGCTCTCTCTGTTCTCCCCACGCCAGCAGCCTACCCGGCAGCCTACAGCCTGGTCGCACCTGCGTTCCCGCAGCCTCCAGCCCTGGTCGCCCAGCAGCCCCCGCCACCTCCGCAGCAGCAGCAGCAGCAGCAGCAACAGCAGCAGCAACAGCAGCAGCAGCGAGAAGGTGCCAGCCAGGGCCGGGCCCTCCTAGCCGAGGGCCTTCCAGGACGGGCAGGCCCTTGTTGTGGGCTCCGGGACTCCCTCTTGCCCTGCACCAAGGCCAGCTCTTGCCCCAAGTGTGGGGCTGGAAGCGGGTAGGGAGGAGGGGCTGCAGTCCTGGCCCACACTGTTGGGGACTGGGATTGGCGGCTCCTTCCGGGCTCTGCTTTCCCTGGGACCTTGGCTCCTGACTGGGCTTCCAAAGCCCTGAGCTCTTCCTCTGTCTCTGCCGCCACCCAGGCCCCGACGGCTGCAACATCTTCATCTACCACCTGCCCCAGGAGTTCACCGATTCAGAGATCCTCCAGATGTTTGTCCCCTTTGGCCACGTCATCTCAGCCAAGGTCTTTGTTGACCGGGCCACCAATCAGAGCAAATGTTTTGGTAAGAATATAACAATCCAAAAAAATTAAAGACGGCACGTTTTCTCTTTTTTTGGGGCCAAACTCCAAATCTAGTCAAGGTTTGATACATCTGAAGGCATTTGTGGTTGCAGTAGGTCTTATATTTCATTGGCTAAGAATATGTGTTTTTTTTCCCCTCCATTTTCTTTTATTGAAAAGCAGGGGTGGGGGAGATGTCCTACCTGCTGGTTCACTCCCCATCTGCTGCAACAGCTGGAGCTGGGCCAAGCCAGAGCCGGGAGCCCTGGGCTCAGTCTGGGTCTCCCATGTGAGTGCAAGGACCCAAGTACTTGAGCCATTGCCTGCTGCCTCCCAGGAAGCTGGAATCTGGGGTAGATATGGCACTCCAATGTAGGATGTAGGCACCCCACCACTACCACCAAGTGGCATCTACTTAACTGCTGGGCGAAATGCCTGCCCCCAAAGAACCACTTTTTAAAAAAACAGTATTTATTTTAATTGAAAGAGTTGCACAGAGAGAACGAGAGGCAGAGAGAGAGGTCTTCCATCCACTGGTTCACTCTCCAACTGTCTGCAATGGCCAAAGCCACGCTGATCCAAAGCCAGGAGCCAGGAGCTTCTTCCAGGTCTCCCACGTGGGTGCATGGGCCCAAGGACTTGGGCCATCTTTCACTGCTTTCCCAGGCCATAGCAGAGAGCTGGATTGGAAGTGGAGCAGCCAGGTCTCAAACTGGCGCCCATATGGGATGCCGGCACTGGAGGCAGCAGCTTTACAAACCACTATGCCACAGCACTCGCCCCTTAAAGAACCATTTTTAAAAAGATTTAGTTATTTGTTTGAAAGGCAGAGTGAGAGAGAGAGAGAGATATCTTCCATCCTCTGTTTCACTCCCCAAAGCCAGGAAGCAGAAACTGCATCCTGGTCTTTCACATGGGTGGCAGGGACCCAAGAACTTGGGCCATCTTTTGCTACCTTCCCAGGTGCATTAGCAGGAAGCTGGGTCAGAAGTGGAGCAGCCAGGACATGAAGCAGCAGCTCCGGTATAGGATGCCAGCTTTGCAAGCGGCAGCTTCACCTGCTGCACCACAAGGCTGCCTATTCAAGAACCATTTTTGGGACACTCAGCATCCCATATGAGTTGCTGCCCAGGCCTGTCCTTTCCTCCAGGAAAATCACAGCTTCCTCTTTTCTCCTTATTAGCTGGCCAAATGCACACTTCACGAGGTCTGCAATAGGCTCACGGCTGCGGCTGTTTGCTTTCCCAAGCAGACCTAGCGAGCAGGCTCTCATTGCCTTCTCGTCTTCGATAGGCTGTTTCAGGAGAGAAAAAGCGTTGTCGTCCTCCCTGCTTCAGAAGCCCGGAGGTTCTGGCAGTGGTGGAGGTCCGGTGTTCACAGTCCTCCAAGCTGAACTCAGGTTCAAGTCTGAACTCAAGTTCACAGTCCTCCAAGCTGCAAAGGAGGCTGGGAGGAGCGTCCTAGTTTGTGTGAGCTGGCCTGGGTTCATTCACTCAATGTGTCAATCCCCAGATTCCCTCTGAACACTCCACGTGTTCGAGGCAGCTCCCTGGGCACTTCTGGGCGAGAAAGTAGGGTCATGCTGAGGAGGAGCTGGGGACGGGCGCCGGATGCATGGCCAGGCCTTACGCCCCTCTTGCCTCAGGCTTTGTGAGCTTCGACAATCCGGCCAGCGCCCAGGCTGCCATCCAGGCCATGAACGGTTTCCAGATCGGCATGAAGCGCCTCAAAGTCCAGCTAAAGCGGCCTAAGGATGCCAACCGGCCCTACTGAGGGCCCCAGGTGGGTCTTGCGCCCGTCTTGTGCCTTCTCCTTGAAGCCCCGCCCACTGCAGCCAGGCCCCGCCCACCTACTCCCTCCCTGGACACCTAGCAGGCATGGGGCAGCTCTCGGCTGTTCAACTCTCAAGTTTCTCTCTCTCTCTCTCTCTCTCTCTCTCACACACACACACACACACACACAAGAGCCCCAAGTCTGTATGTATCTGTGCCCACACCCCAGATCTTTCCCAGTATCTGGTCTTGTTTGTCTGGTCGGTGTCCATCTGTCTGTGTGTTTCTTTCTGGTTTTCCTTTGGGTTGGATTGGAATTAGGGGAGTAAGGGGCCGGTTCCGGGTATCGGAGGGCCGGAGGGTCACTGGCTCCAGGAATCTCCGTTCCCCTGAGAGGCGGGGCCATTGGGTCCCCACTGCCCTGGACTTGAGGGTAAGGTTTTAGCTCAGGGAGCCACAGACCCAGGGGGCGGCAGAGCGCGCACAGGCCCCACCGGGGAGCACCCGTCTCCAGGACTCTTGGGAATTGCTGGTTTAGGAGGAGGTTGTAATGCAGCACCACCTGTGAATTTCCCTTGGCCCGTCCAGTCCACGCCATGGCCAGCCACCACTCCAGCTTCGTGGCCACAGAGCCGTGAGCCCTGCTTACTCGTGTTGTTTAACCTCCCTTGGACCATACCCCTGGAAAAGCACAACCCGAGAACAATACCCACGTTTTCTGTTTCTCCCCTTTCCCCCCCAATCCTGGCTGCTTAACTCCCCCAACCCTGGGGGCCCCCCCAGCCCAGGGCCCGTGTCCATTGTCGGCTGAAGCCCCCATCCCTGGACCCCTGCTCCGGGCCCCTGTAAGTTGCATGGAACGAGCGTGTTGTCTTTGGAGCCGATTGTTTGTTCTCTGGGGAGGGGGCCGCGGAGGGAAGCGCCCCCCAGCCCAGGGTCAGGGCCGGGGGCAGCTCGCGGGATGTGCTTGGTCAACAGTGGTTGGTGACTGTGGTCTGTGTTCTGTGCACTTCGCTTTCTTTGTTCCTTTCCAAAAAGGAGTGAGAGCCCTGCCCAGGGGCGGGGGCCATCCCCCGAGGCCGCAGCGCTTGGCCCCGCCCCTGGCCCCGGCCCCGCCCCCGGCCCCGCCCCGGGCTCCGCCGCTGCCTCCTCCACGGAGGCTCCCTTCTCTTCCAGGTGGCTGTCTCCCTGCCACGCGCACGCCTCCCGCCCCTCCTCTTCCTCTCTCTGCCTGCCTGTTGTCCCATTTCTTTGCCTCTTACCCTCTAGGCCTCTGTCTCTTCCGGTCTTTATTTTTCTCACGAGCTGTTTAAGTGTTTCCCCCCTGATGTCCTTGGTTTTCTGGAATCGTGTACCCCGGCCCTCCCCGGCTCCTCCGGCCTGCCCCTTGCTCTCATGGCTGGGGAGGGCCAGCCGGTTCGGTTCCTCAGGCAGCCCGTCCCAAACGATGACCCCCGGCCGGCCGCCTCTCCATGCAGAGCCCGCTGCCTGCAGCTGCTGCCGCCTCCCCATTCTTCACCCGTCTCCTTCCTTCACAGGTCCCGAGATGCCAGAGGAAAGAGCGCCTCGTACCCTCTTCCCCCGCCCGGCCCTGGCCCTCTGCACACCTGGCCTGGGCCTTGACGGGGCCGGGGGCACAGGACGCGGGCCGTTCCCACCGCCGAGCCTCTCCGACAGGCCGCGGCTGCGCTGCCCGGCTCCAGGAGCCTGTTTCTTCCCGGGTGCCTTCGTGGCCTTTGCGAGGGAGCGAGGAACAGGCTAGAAGGTTCTGGGCTGTCTGCCTTCTGCTAGGGCTCCTGTGACCGCGGGCTTCTGGGCCGGGTTTGTACTGCCTCCCCTCCAGGGGGCCTGTGCTGGCTGTGCAGGCCCGGGAGGGCAGGGGGCTCCTCCCATGGACTCCCGGGCCCACCCCTGCCCCAGCTTCTTTCCTGAACTAGGGGTTCCCCGGAAGCTGGCTCCCACTCCCTGCCCCTCTCAGCTAGAGGTAGGATATCCCTGAATCCTGGGCTCCCAGCCCTAAAACCTACTGCCTCCCCCAAGGGCCCCCCTAAGGAGGGTGTGGGGGAGCCCTGAGGGCTGCCTCTCCGCCAGTTAGCCACAGAGACCCTCCTCCTTTCATGAGGAAAGGACCCTCCCCCGAAGCCCTAACAATGTTTACAGTCTCTGCTGGCCCCTCCGTGTACATAACCACTGCGCGACCCAGCCCGGCAGTGGGGGCGGCGCTGCCCTCTCTCTCTTTCTCTTTCTCTCTCTCTCTCTCTCTGGGAGTTGAGACCACGTTGCCCTTGGAGTTTTTTCTCACTCTCTTGGTTTCTCCCTTTGCTCTGGGGGGTAATTGGGTACTGGGGAGAGGGGTGTGGGGAGGGATAAAGGGGTTTATTACCTGATCATTTTCTTTAGGAAGAGGTTTTAAGGGAAAAGAACATGGGGTGGGGGTGGGAGTGGTAAGGGGAGACTGGGGAGTCAGTTTCAGACGATTCTCTATGCTTAACTTATTTATTTATTGCATTTTACTTTTAAAGAGTTGGTCTTTTCTGTCTAAATAAAGAAAAACTTTAAAAGCATCACGTAAGAGTCTTGGAATTTGGAGAGTGAGAGATTCACCCTGGGGAGGAGCAGAGAGGAACAGAGAATGAGGGTTGGGAGAGAAAATGCTTCTGGGAGGCGTGGCCCTGGCTGGCTGGCCAGCCATCTATGTATCTATCATATATATATCGATTTATCATCTCTCTTCCTATCCATGTATCTATCATCTAACTATCATCTGTGTCATCTATCATCCATCTATGTGTCTATTTATCTATCATCATCTATCTCAAAGGCAAAGAGACAGATCTTCCATCCACTGATTCACTCCCCAAATGCCCATACCAGGGCTGCGCCAGGTCTACAACCCAGGTCTCCATGTGGCAGGGACCCAAGTACCTGAGGCATCATCTGCCTCCCGGGATGCACACTAGCAGGAAGCCAGAATTGGGAGCGGAGCTGAGACTCAATCCCAGGTACTCCAGTAAGGGACGTGGGCATCCCTGCGGCATCGACCCTCCCCCCAGCCCTTGTTTAGGAGCAGTGTCCAGGCCTTGTGTTTGCTCAGAACTTTGGGATCTTGTTCTCTCGCCCTTGGGGTTTGGATCTAGAATGTTCTGCAGGGTTGGGCACAGCTGGAGAAGATAGCAAGTGAGCAGGCCTGCCCCTCTGAAGGCGGAGGACTTGTCTCACAGGCCGGACCTCCATTCCTGTGCTGCTGGGGCTACTGGGAGCTGGCTGCAACACCACCACTCGTGAACTGCTGCTCGGGTTGTGATTCTGTTCCAGGCTCCAATGTGCATGCCCTCATTCAACCTCCCAGCAGCCCCATAACGCAGGATAGAGCTGTACAGACAGGCAGGGCTAGTCAACATACCCTGCACCACAAAGCTGGTGAGGGATGGCTGGAGAGACTGGCCCTGTGCTTTGACCCAAGGCAAAGACCCCAAGCAGCATCCAGCAGGCTCTGTCAGGGGCCGCCTTCAGGCAACAGGTGCACTGTCTGAGCCCTGCGGTCCCTCCAATTCCCAAGGTCTCCTCTGTGAACGGCTTTAGGACTGGGCTTAGAAAGCTCATCCAGGTGTAGTTTGGGGCTTCACAACTCAGGGGCCGCCTGCTTCCAGGCGATCCCACCCTCATTGCATCCCTGCTTGTAAGCTGGCTCATTTTATCTTTTTTCTTTTTTTCCCCCAAAGATTTATTTTATTTACTTAGAAGGCAGAATTAGAGAGAGAGAAGGAGAGAGAGAGACTTTTCATCTGCCGGTTCACACCCCAAATAGCTGCAACAGCCAGGGCTGGATCAGGCCGAAGCCAGGAGCTTCATCTGTGTCTCCCATTTGGGTGTAGGGACCCAAGCACTTGGGCCATCCTCTGCTGCCTTCCCAGGCACATTATCAGACACCTGGATTAGAAGTGGAGCAGCTGGGACTCGAACCGGTACCCATATGGGATGCCGGCATTGCAGGTGGCAGCTTTACCCATTATGCCACAGCACCAGCCCCCAAGCTTGTTCATCTTTCCAGCTCTGATCTGGTGTCAGCTCACCCTGCAGCTGTGCCCCCCCCCACCTCCACTTCCGCCTTCTCTTAAATTGCCTCAATGTCAGAACGGTCCAAAGTGATGCACCATGGGGAGTGCTGGGGAGATAGACCTGTGGGCATTGCTCCTGGGGGTAATGCCTCTTGGGCTGGCAGAGCCCAAGAGTGGCACCTTGCTCGCAAGAGTCGGGGTTCTCAGCCAAGTGGACAGCCCTTGAAGTCTCCATGAAACCGTGCAGGCATTTGCAGGAGAGAGGGGTGTGTCGGAAGAGACAACAGGAGTTGGTCCTCAGCGTCTGCGAATTTTCCCGTGGATCGTCGCAACATCAGAACAGTTTCTGAGTCAGGATGGAAAGACGGGAGATGGGCTTGGACGAGAAAGCACCTCCAAGGGTGAGAGAATGCTCTGGGGCCCTCTCCTGGGTGTGCCTAGGTGGGCTGGGCAGGCACAGGCAGAGAAGCCCCTGCTGCCCTGGTCCGTCTCGGAGTGGCAGCCTCCCCTCCTCGCCAACAGTCAGCGGGACAGACTGTGTCTTTCCTCTGAAATCAGTGAGTCCTGCTACTGATGCTCGGAGTTAACGCAGCGCAATGGGAAGAGGAGAAATCAAGCTTCTGGCGGCAGAAGAGTGAGGCTGATGCGTTCATATCAGGGACTGGGGAAGCCTTTCCATCGTAGGAACAAACTCCGTTTAGAAAAAGTATCAGCCGGCGCCGCGGCTCACTAGGCTAATCCTCCGCCTGCAGCGCCGGCACCCCAGTTTCTAGTCCCGTTTGGGGTGCCGGATTCTGTCCCGGTTGCCCCTCTTCCAGGCCAGCTCTCTGCTGTGGCCAGGGAGTGCAGTGGAGGATGGCCCAAGTGCTTGGGCCCTGCACCCCATGGGAGACCAGGAAAAGCACCTGGCTCCTGGCTCCTGCCATCGGATCAGCGCGGTGCACCGGCCGCAGCGCGCCGGCCGCGGCGGCCATTGGAGGGTGAACCAACGGCAAAAGAAGACCTTTCTCTCTGTCTCTCTCTCTCACTGTCCACTCTGCCTGTCAAAATAAATAAATAAATAAAAAAGTATCTCAGTCAGGGAGACCCAGGTAAGGAGAACATCGCAGGCTAAAGGAGCCTTGGCAAGTGTAATCATAACACAGGTGTCTCCACTTCCTGTAGGCGGGACTCTGCCGGCCAGCGGCTCCGTGCTCTCCAGGCTCTCCCTTGGCCTTTAATTCTCTACTGAAATGTCAGAGCCTCTCACGGCCGAGCCCCAACCAGCCCTGAGTCGGCTCCTGCTTTGGTCAGTTCTGCCCAGGGGGCAGCGTCCTGGTACTCCCTTCCAATGCATCCTCTTTCCTCCCAGCGTGCACTTCTCACCTGAGTTCCTCCTGAACGCAACGTTGCTCACCCCTTCCCCTGCGGTCTCAGAAGCTCCCCGGAGCCCCCCTGCAGTAGCCCCGAGGTGCGTCTGCACCGCCATCCCCGCCGTGCCGCCCCCTCGCCTGCCTCGTGCTCCAGCTCTCCTAAGCACAGGCGTGCCTCTCGGAAGCTGCTCACAGGGGTCGCTGAGCACTGCCTCCCCGCCACCCTCGACAGGGCCGGGACGCGAGCAGTTGTTGAGTAAACTAAGGACGGACCCTGGGCAGCTATACTGCCTCTCCCAACGGAAACTTTCTCCTCCCACTCGAAACTGTCAAATGTTTCCCTCTTCAGTCACACAGGCTAAACGCTTGGGAGTCTTTTACTCTACTCACCTAAGTGCAATGTTATTAAGTGATGATTTTATTTCCACAATTTTTCTCATATTCATTTCCCTCTTTTAAATAGTTATTTATTTAAGATTTACTTATTTATTTGAAAATCAGAGTTACACAGAGAGAGAAGAGGGAGAGAGAGAGGTCTTCCATCCGCTGGTTCACTCCCCAATTGGCCGCAGTGGCTGGAGCTGTGCTGATCCGAAGCCAGGAGCCAGGAACCTCTTCCAGGTCTCCCATGCAGGTGCAGGGGCCCAAGGACTTGGGCCATCTTCTTACTGCTTTCCCAGGGCATAGCAGAGAGCTGGATCGGAAGTGGAGCAGCCGGGACTCAAACCGGCGCCCATGTGGGATGCCGGCACTTTAGGCCAGGGCATTAACCCGCTGCGCCACAGTACCAGCCCCAGATTTAATTTATGTGAAAGTCAGAGTTACACAGAGAGAGGAGAGGTAGCGAGACAAAGAGGCAAAGAGAGAGAGAGGAAGAGGAAGAGAGAAAGAGGTCTTCCATCCTCTGGTTCACTCCCCAGATGACTGCAACGACCGGAGATGTGCCCATCTGAAGCCAGGAGCCAGGAGCTTCCTCCGGGTCTTCCCATGCAGGTGCAGGGGCCCAAAGACTTTCCCAGGCCATAGCAGAGAGCTGGATTGGAAGTGGAGCAGCCAGGACTCAAACCGGCGTCCATATGGGATGCCGGCACTGCAGGCAGTGGCTTTACCCACTATGCCACAGTGCTGGCCCCATTTCCCTCTTTTCAATTCTCACTGCTTCCTCTTATTAACTGGATAATCATGGTAGTGCCCCAATTTATTCTTCTGTCTACACTGTGTCCTGAAACATCAGACTTTCTAAACTGCAGCTGGTGAAAATGACTAGATCTATCGATCTCTCATCTGCTGGTTCACTCCCCAAATGCCTACAACAGCTAGGGCTGGGCCAGGCTAAGCCAGGAGCCAGGAACTCTATCTAGGTCTCCCACGTGGGTGGCAGGGTCCCAAGTACCTGAGCCACCTGCTGCTTCCCAGGGTGCCCGTTATCAGGAAGCTGGCACGGAAAGCGGAGCCAGGACTCGAACCCAGGCACTCTAGCATAGGATGCAGGCGTCCTAATGCCCATCCTGCCTTTTTTTTTTTTTTAATGTCCAGTGAAGCACCCCAAGCCTGGCATTCAAAGCTCTTCGAAGCCTTTCTTTTTTATTTTTTTATTTTTTTGACAGGCAGAGTGGACAGTGAGAGAGAGAGACAGAGAGAAAGGTCTTCCTTTTGCCATTGGTTCACCCTCCAATGGCCGGCGCGGCCAGCGCGCTGCGGCCGGCGCACCGCGCTGATCCGATGGCAGGAGCCAGGAGCCAGGTGCTTTTCCTGGTCTCCCATGGGGTGCAGGGCCCAAGCACCTGGGCCATCCTCCACTGCACTCCCTGGCCACAGCAGAGGGCTGGCCTGGAAGAGGGGCAACCGGGACAGAATCCAGCGCCCCGACCGGGACTAGAACCCGGTGTGCCGGTGCCGCTAGGCGGAGGATTAGCCTGGTGAGCCGCGGCGCCGGCCTTTTTTTTTTTTTAAGATTTATTTATTTATTTGAAAGGCGGAGTTACAGAGGCAGAGGCAGATCTTCCATCTGCTGGTTCACTCCCCAATTGGCCGCAATGGTGGGAGCTGTGCTGATCCAAAGCCAGAAGCCTGGAGCTTCTTCCAGGTCTCCTATGTGGATGCAGGAGCCCAAGGACTTGGGCCATCTTCTACTGCTTTCCCAGGTCATCGCAGAGAGCTGGATCAGAAGTGGAGCAGCCAGGACTTGAACCGGCACCCACATGGGGTGCCACACCACAGGCAGAGGCTAAGCTTAGTACACTGAAGTGCCAGCCGCTGAAGCCTTTCTTTCTATTTCATTCCTATACACACCCTGAGTTCTACTGAAACAGGACTACTCATTGTTCTCTGGACAAGTTGTCTCTTCTCATGTCTTTTCATCCCCCATTACTACAGGGCCTGTCTCCATACACGTTTGCTGAATGTCCTGTTGAAATCTTGTCCATGCTAATAATTCACCCTACACATCATTTTCTTCATGAAGATTTTCTTAATTGCACCATCCACACTTCTCCCTCCTTTGCAGCCCTGAGGGCATGGAAGCCTCGGCCAGCTGCGTGGCCTGGCCATCGGGAATGCCTTGTTCCTGTGAGGCTGGACGCCAGCACAGGGCCCCTCTGCATCTGTCTGCTGCGGGACCCAACACGGCGTCGCACACTGGGAGGCTGTAACAGAAGTCTGTCCACTTGGCTCTGAAGTTCAATTCTGGAATTCCGCTTTCTACTTCTCAATGGATTCTTTTCTTGTTAACGAAGAAAACTGTCTTCCCATTGGCACAGTAACATTTATCAGGTTCCAAATAGTCAGCACTTGTATTTTTGAACAATACCTCTCCCAACCTGCTATACAAAATGGCAAACTGTTCCAGTTAAAGAACAGTAGGTGGTCGGAGGGTACAAAAAGACCTTTTAAAATGGAGAGTTTTTATTATAAAACTAAGAAGTGTCCTGCCACAAACAGTGAGCTTTCCAGAGGGGAGCAGGTGCTCCTGAGAGCAGGGACTCAGTCCCCAGTGCTCACATGGGGGTGTGTATGAAGCAAGGCCACGAAAGGCCAGGAAAGCAGGGCCGCCCTCGCCCTCTGGGCTGGGGACAGAGGAGTGATCGTGAGCACCCATGGCTCCCGGCGCTGGGCTGTGCGCTCCTGAAGGAGCCACCCACCTTTCGGTTCACAGCCCCAGGAAATGCGTGGCAGTGTGTGTGTGAGTCAGGCAGACGGGGCTAAGCTCTGTCCCACATGCTCAGCAGGGCTCTCTGCAGAAGGCCAGGAGAGGGGTCTGGGAATTGTTAGCAGGGTTTTGTGGGGGCTGGTGGACTCTAAGATCTCAGGAAGCAGGAGGTGTCTTCCAAGGAGGCAGCAGAGACCAGGAACTCCCTGGCTTCGCCTTCCACCGGCGTCTGCCACCCCCGCCTCACCTGGGGCGGATGCCCCTGCAGTTTTCAGACTGACCACTGTAACTCTGATCTCACAGGTCCCTCACCACGCCTTCCCACACAGCCCAAAGGATTTGTAGTCTAGGAGACCAAAGGATTGTTTCATCAATAAATCAATTTATTTAAAAGAATATGTTACAATTAATTACACTAAGTGACATTACCAAACAATTTTAGAGTGGTTAGCTCTAGAACAAGGAATGAAAGAAACACTGTTAGCCATTATGTGTCTGTGTATTTTCTCTTCACATTTCTTAAATCACAAATAAAAAATACAAGATACTGCAGTGAAAATACAATTAGAGTTTCTCTCAAATAAATTAAAAGTGTGGATGGCCTGGGAAAAACCGAAGCCCAGCTCACTGGTGTAGAAGAGGGGCATGACGTAAAATTGCTGTCCAAGTTTAGCAGTTGGCCAAGGCCCCCACCCCGCACTACCCACCCCCGCCCCCGCTCCTGTCCCTCCCCACGCCCTCGCCTGCTCTGAGCAGGGAGCCGAAGCTGTGCTGCATGAATGAGGCCTGCTGTGTGTGCGCAGGGGTGGGCCACAAGGAGGGAGGCGGGGCTGGGGGGCAGGACTGGAAGACGGGCAGCTGCCTCTGTTCTCTCTCCTCCAGAGGGAGGCTAACGTGACCCAAGGAAGCTGGTAAAGGAGCTGCGCACGCAGGGCTCCCGACAGCCCCCACGCCAGCTACCTGCTGCTGAACGCAGCCCAGGAGCACGGTGGGAAGCAGGGGGCGGGAGGGGGGCATCCACACCCGGAGACTGGAGGCCACCCGGCAGCGGTCCCCCGCACACCTGCCTCCTAGGGGCCAGGCCCACAGGGAGACAGAGCCCTCCAGTGCTGCTCCAGGCACTGGGGGTGCAGCTGCGAGAGGGCATGAGCTGGAGCTGCTGGCCTGGGGAGAACTGGCCAGGTGTGAGGCTGCTGGGATAATCCAATTCCTCCCTGAGAGCTCTGTCCAGGCCTGGAAGCTGCCCTGAGAGCCTGGGCCTGGGGCAGGGGGAGGGCAGAAGAATGGAGTTGGAATAAAACTGTAAAGAGCATCGGGCCAGAGCATCGCCCGGGGGACTGCTCTGCAGGGGCAGCTTGCTCGGGGCTGTGTTTTCTCCTGATCTGTGAAAAGCTCTGGGCTTTTGCCACAGAGACTCCAGATGGGTGCGGAGGGACCGGGGAGACCCTGCTGGCTCTGCTGGGGAGAAGCTGTGGGCAGGGCAGTCCCCCTTTCCCAGGGACAAACTGCACAAGGAGACCGGGTAGAAGCCTCCCTGGGCAGAAGCCAGGACTAAAGAAGATAGCAGGGATCAGAGGACGGGGGTGGGGTGGGGGGAGAGAGCCACATGGAGCACTGTTTCATGCAAAGGGGGCTGCACCCCACGGACCACCACAGCTGCAAAGACCCCTGGGACGCTTGTTGTGGGTAGAAAAGAAGGGGCCGCCCCTTAGGGGCCCCCTGCTTCCCACTTCCTTACTGCAGCTGGGAGCTTTGTAGGTGGGCAGCCTCAAGTACCTGCTGTTCCTAAACAGAATCTGCCAAAAGGCCAGCTGCCTGCGCCACCCCCCCGCCCCGCCCCGCGGCCAGCATCATCCATGCAGTCGCGTGGACTCTCAGGTTTGTTTGCTCCTCTCCCGCCAACGAGGAGTCGGGGGCTTAACTGCTGCGACTTTCACGGTTTCCACAAAGCTGGTGCCAAAAGCCTCTTTAGCATCTCGGAGTAGGAAATCAATATAATCTTCTTTTCAGGGTCCGTTGGCTCATTATTAAATTCATTTAAGCCAAAAGAAAGAATTGATTCTGTGTCGAAGTCTTCAAATAGTCTCACTGCAACTCTTAACACTCAGCACTCCGATGCCTCGCCCTCTGCAGAAGGGGTGCGGGGGAGGACATTCGCCGTGAGCCTGCGCTTCCCTGGGGCCAGTGTGGGGACAGAAACCTGGCCTCAGGACGATGTGCACAAGCAGGTCACAAACTACAAACTTCACCCCCCCCCCCACGCTGCTCTGCAGAGTGGACCACAACCACAGCTGCCCTCCAGTTACACAGGCAAAAGATGCCGCCCCGGGTCGGGTGAGGGTTCTTTATAGAAGGCAGAGAAGGGGAAAGGCCAAGGGCCAAAGGTGTGTTTCAGCTGCACCTGAGCCTGGCTTAGTGCTCCCTGCACAGCCCGCAGCACTCAGGGGACGGGGTGCTGCCTCTGCTTCTCTGGGCTCAGAGGCCGGCTGCAAGGTCAGATGAGAAGTGAGAAGCTCTTTGAGGGCCCTGAAGGTTTTCCTTCAGTCTCCTTGTAATTGAAAGTTGAAGACCCACCCTACATCAACCATGTTCCCACCGTTCCCTCCTGGGTCCTCCGCTGCCTTGGATGGGGCTACAGTTTGTTTGGCACAGAACATGGACTCACTCCAAGTTTCCTAAGGCCTTGAAGATATTATCAGATCCCTCCTCAACACTGCTGTCTCTGGAAGTCACAAAAATGGAATAGTTACAGGTGGTTACTGGTCAGGAATGGGGTAAGTAAAACCTTCTGTACATGGGCCTTCCTTCCTTTCGCCTGTGTAAGTCCAACCTTCGTGCCCAAGGTATCAGCGGTAACTCCGGGCCCTAACAGCACCCCTGCCGCAGAAAAGGCAGAGGAGTGGGAAATCGCCTCCGGGCCGAGGCACCGGCCTCCTGAGCCCACCTCCACTTCAGGCTGGGCCGGCTAAGGGGCGGCCCAGGGGCCTCTGGGAGGCAGGAAGGAGGTGCGCGCGCATGCGAGGCGGCTGGAGAGCCCCGAGGTGGGGAGAGGCGGCCTGGGAGGCGGCCGAGGGAGCATGCACAGCCTCCCTGCCACCCGCAGCCACCTCTCTCCTCCCCAGCACCCCTTGCTCCTCAGACTCGGCGGCAACCCAAGGGCCAGAATCTGCGTGTGCTCGGTGCAGAGAACGGCGGGGAGACCCCGGCAGGTTGTAAACGTTTCGAGTCCTTCGTGAGGAGAGGTATTTTTCCCTGTAAATTTTTTTTTTTCTTTTTAAAGTTTGTTTCAAAATAAAGAGAGAGCAAGAGAGAGAGAGGTCATGAATTCTAGTGAAGTGTGTAAAAACACAAGCTAAAAAAGGTACTGCCATCAATATGAAATTTAAAAAGAAATATATATATGTATATACGTGCAGCTAATTTATGTATATATAATTTTTACATACATACATATATATGTCTGAACAGTGCAAATGGATGAAGTTCATAGTTCCAGTTTTAAAAATATAGTACAAGGAGAGGCTGTCGGTGTGAGGCCCAGGTGGAAGAAAGGGCACCTGTGGCGAGTCGGCTGGGCTTCCTGCTTTTCCTGTCTGCACTCAGTGGACTCCCGGTACTGACCAACCTGCTGCTCTCTACCAGCTCACTTCCAAGATGGGAGATTCGGGGGGTATTAATGATATTTAGTGGAGGGCTTTGCAACGTAATGACTTCTTTCCTATTTCTCTTCTTTTGTGTTAATGGTTACTCTGTCTGCCTTGGGAGATGGTGGGGCAAGAGCGAAGGGAAGGGAAGGGGAGGGGATAAGGAGAGGCTAGGTGGCCACATCCCTCTGCTGTGACCTCGCCATCTGGAAAATGTTCTGAAAGGAAAAAAGAAGAAAGTTACTGGGAAGCCACATCTCCTCCCATCTGAGGACAACTCCTCAAAGAAACGCAAAGGGCACGACTGGATGACAGGATCTGGCTGGCCCTTGCCCCCGGGGATCTTCCCACCTGAGGTCACAGCCCAGAGCTGGAAGGGACCCTGGACATCAATCACTTGGTATGGGCTTTCTGCTTTGCAGTCGAGAAAACTGAGACCCCGGGAGGCCGACCTGCCCACCGGTATTACAGAGAGGAAGAGCTAAGAGGAAACCCAGATATAATTCCCACAGGCCAGTGTTCTTCGTACTCGATTACAAATATAAATTTTTATGTTCCTGACTTTGCCTCCTGATCCTCTGAACGATTTTCTCAGAGAGTAGGTAGCTAAGTACCCAGAATCTTCCAGATTCCAGCGTGGGCCCACACAGACAGCAACTTTCCCCCACGTCCACCTTCTGGGTTAGCCTAGGGAGCCCCTATCAGCTGCAGGACAGCTGCCCCCCGGGGAGGGCGATCTGATCAACAAGACAGACAGAGCAGGGTCCATGGTGCGTGAGAGATGGAGGAGCCTGCAGCCAATGCTCGCCCTCTGGGCGAGGCAGGAAGCCGGGCTCATGGCCCCTTCACCATCCAGAGCCCAGCCTCGCTGGAACCATGTCCTGGCTGACGGGGGGAACCAGTCTCTAACTAATAGTCCTGGAAAGACAGAGATGGAGGTAAGGGTCCCAGGTATTTGGCCGCAGCCTACACATTTTAAACAAATTGTAGAAAATGTGAAAGTAGAGAAGGATTTCTCAGAATTACCTCTTTCCTCCACTTGAGCTCGCAGAACACCCTCTCAAAGCACTCATGCATGTAATTGAACTGGAAAATAAGAACAGGCAGCCCCACTCACTGACTTCTCAAGACCAGGCACCACGGGGCAGCACCCTTGGACTCCTGCCCCCAGGACCCCCTCTTCCCAACAGTCTGGAGACCACGAAAGGCAGCCGGGCTTCATTTACTATTCTCTGGCTCCTCCTGGTGGCAACCGTGAGCCTCGCGGGATGTGACACTGACAGTCCTAGCGGGGCCTCCAGGAAAGACAGGTTGAACAGGGACTGCTGGCCACAGGCAGAGTCCAGACAACTGCTAACTGTGTCTTCACTTCCCCCAAGTGTGTTTCCCATCCCCCACTCACATATGGCGTGAAGATCTTAACCCATCGGGGCTTCTTCTCTCCTCGTGCATATTCAAAGCAGAAGGCCATTCCTTCTTCATCCGTATCCCACCGCTGCATCTCATCCCATTCGAATGCTATGACCTGGTTCTGGAGAGCCAACAACAGGACAGTGAGGTCTATGGCCTGGGGAGCTGGGCACACAAGAGAAACGGATGCAGGCGTCTGCAGCATCCCACGGGAAGGCTCGGGCAGAGGAAGGAACGTCCGGAAGCAGCCTGTAAGGCCGAGGACACTGAGCCGCTCCATGTGAACTCTTACCTCCAGCTGCCCCTCCTCGGTGCAGGCGTGCAGCTTAAAGTGCGTGATGCTGATGGCTGTGATGACGTGCCCCTTCCTCCTCGAGTCGCAGGCACAGTGGGGGAAGATGATCTCATTGTAGCCCTCACAAGTCCTTAGCATGTTGAGGTACTAGGAATGAAGGGGAGACAGTGTCACTGTGGACCTGGACCATGACGAACAGCAGTTGAGGGGAGCGGGCACTGTGGCTCGGCAGGGTACGCTGCTGCCTGCGGGGCCGGCTCCCATGTCAGGGTGCCAGTTTCAGTCTCAGCTGCTCTGCTTCCAATCCAGCTCCCTGCTGATATGCCTGAGAGGGCGGCAAAACACGGCCCAAGTCCCTGGGCTCCCGCCACCCACGTGGGAGACTGGATGGAGTTGCTGGCTCCTGGCTTCAGCCTGGCCCAGCCCCAGCCATCGTGGCCATTTGGGAAGTGAACCAGCATACGAAGATTCCTCTTTGTCACTCTGCTTTTCGGATAAATAGATAAATCTTTTTCTTCTTCTTCTTCTTTTTTTTTTTTTAAAGTGGTTGAGGTAGTACAAAGAGGTTGAAGGTACAAAGAGGATGCTCCCACAGTCTCACACCCATCCCTAGGCTGGAACAGGACTCTACGCAATGCTTTCCTTCCACTTCCAAATTGCACTTTCATACTTCAGATCCTCTTTGTCCACTTAAAAAAAGATGCCGGGGCAGGCATCTGGCTTAGCGGCTGAGACACTGGTTGGGATATTCAGGCATCTGAGCGCCTGGATTTGATAACTGGCTCCTCTCCTGACCCTGCGTCCTAACGCAGACCCTGCGCAGGCAGCAGGGATGGCTCCGGTGATTGTTCCCTGCTGCCCACTGAGAGACCTGGTTAAGTTCCTGGCTCCCAGCTTTTCAAGCCTTTGGAGAGTGGACCAATGGAGGGAAGTACTGTCTGTTTAGCAAATAAAATGAACAGCTAAAAATATTTTAAATACACAAGAGACAACAACCAAGACTCAGAGGGCTAGGAGGAAACCCAGGATGTTATTTAATCTGGTCTAGTGTCACTGGGCCCGAGGAGTGGGAATCTCATCTACCTTTTTCATTTCTCTAACCCAAGGTTATAGTGATTGATCTCGTGATGATGGGCAAGCTGTCAAAATCTCACGCTGATACAATGCCAAAGCCGAAAGAGACTTTTAAAAACTAATCATTTCACAGAAACCTAGAGGAAGGCGAGACTACTCGTGATCACAGGTGATAAGGGGCGCAGCCTGGACCACAGCCTCACCTCATTTCCAGGCCTCTGCTCCTTTCACTGTCACCAGCTAGTCCCCACAGCAGCCCCGCTGTCCCGGGGGTCTCCAGGGTCTCCAGGATATTTCTCTTTCTCTTTAAAAGCACCCGGGGCAACACGAGGAGGCACACCTGACTGTCCCAGGTACGAGAGGCAAGTGCCATCCTATGTCCCTGCACCACTGAGGCCCACGCAGCCAGCTCTCTGACCATCCTCCTCCACACTAAACACTGGCCTCTCTTTCGTTCAAGTTGGTACTTCTGAGCTGAGAGGGGATGGAGTGAAAGAAGATGAAGGGGAGGAGAGTAGAGGAGAAACAGGGAAAGAACGGTTGGAGGGGCTGGGGATGCAGATCCGTGGACTCGGAGCTGGCTTCCTCTCCGGCACAGACCAGGGCATGCTGGCACCGGGCGCAGAGCCCTGGGGAGAGGACAACAGCACGTCACTGCCGCTGGTTTCAACCAGATGGACAGGGAACCAAGAACACACAGGGCACGCTGCCTTCTGCCTGCCCGTGAGAGGAGGAAGGGCACAGGCACAAAAAGGACATGCGGCGACCTGTGGCTCAGCTACCAGTGACTGGCACTCTCGACCGCTGCCGCTGTAACCAGGGCCGAGTGTGAGGGCTCTGCGGCGCAGAGAGGGGAGCATTGTAATACAGCTCCTTGCCTTGATTTGCATTTCTGCTAAGGTAAAGTGATAGCAACTATGAAGACAAAAAATCGTAACAGGGTAGCAAGAACACGGGACAGGGTCAGCTGTCAATTTAGAGGACAATTCTTCAGTCACAGCAGTTTCTTCTCTCACTTTACCCTCCGCTGGTTCACTCCCGCAATGGCCAGAGCTGTGCCCATCCGAAGCCAGGAGCCAGGAGCTCCTTCCCAGTCTCCCATGCAGGTGCAGGGGCCCAAGGACTTGGGCCATCTTCTACTGCTTTCCCAGGCCACAGCAGAGAGCTGGATCGGAAGTGGAACAGCTGGGACTCGAACCTGGGCCCATGTGGAATGCCAGCATTGCAGGAGGAGGCTTTACTCCCTATGCCACAGCACTGCCCCCCACCCCTTTTTAAAAAGGATTTTATTTATTTGAGAGGCAGAAAGACACAGAGAAAAACATCTCCCATCTGCTGGTTCGCTTCCTCCCTAAATGGCAACAACAGCCAGGGCTGTGCTGGGCTAAAGCCTGGAGCTAGGCAGACAACCCAGGTCTCCCAGAGGGGGTGGCAGGAACCTAACTGCTGCCTCCCAGGGTCTGCAGGAAGTTGGAATTAGGAGTTGGAGCTGGGAAGTGGACCCAGGCACTGATGTAGGATTCAGGCATCTTTTTTTTCCTCCCTTTTTTAATTTTTTAATTTATCTGAAAGAGAGATATAGCAAGTGAGAAACAGAGACCAATATCTCCCATATGCTGGTTTACTTCCCCAATGCCCATAATAGCCAGGGCTGAGTCAGGCTGAAGCCAGGAGCTGGGGACTCAGTCTCCCACAGAGGTGCAGGGACTCAAGTACTGAAGTCAGCACCCATGTCTCCCAGGACGCGCGTTACCAGGAAGCAGGATTGGAAGTGCAGTGGGGACTGGAACCCAGGCTCTCTGATATTTAATACAGGTGACTGCTGAGCCAAACACCTGCCCTGGGACTCCAGCTCCTTCACTGCTGTCTTTTTTTTTTTTTTTTTTTTGCTGACAGGCAGAGTGGACAGTGTAGAGAGAGAGACAGACAGAAAGGTCTTCCTTTGCCGTTGGTTCACCCTCCAATGGCCGCCAGGGCCGGCGCACTGCGGCCAGCGCACCGCGCTGATCCGAAGCCAGGAGCCAGGTGCTTCTCCTGGTCTCCCATGGGGTGCAGGGCCCAAGCACTTGGGTCATCCTCCACTGCACTCCTTGGCCACAGCAGAGAGCTGGCCTGGAAGAGGGGCAACCGGGACAGAATCCGGCACCCCGACCGGGACTAGAACCCGGTGTGCCGGCGCCGCAAGGCAGAGGATTAGCCTATTGAGCCGTGGCGCCAGCCTCACTGCTGTCTTAACCACTAGGCTAAAAGTCCTCTCCTCCACTTTGCCTTTTTGGAAGTCTCTATCCTACTATCGGTGATAAATGTGAACGCTGATTAGTCTGCTATTGGCACTATTACCAAAAGAACTCCCTGACTGCTGTGCTTTGCTGATTATGACAGGGGTGGGTGAGAGAACAGGGGAGAACTCCCCTGGGATTGTAGTAAGCAGCCGAACTTGGGTCAGAGAGCAACACACAGAGCAATGGGGAAGCGAATGGGTCCAGACCACCCAGGGCTCGAATCCTGACCCCATCACTCCCTAACCATGCAGCTCTGGGCAAGTTACTTGAACTCAGGCAAATCACTTAGTCACAGGAGCCCACTTTCCCTTCTGTAAAATGGGGAATAACAGGTAACACCTCTACTCCAGTGTTACTTGTGAGCGTTAAATACACTGAGCATGGTACTCAGTACATAATTAGGCATTTGATAAATGACAGCTAAAAACAAAACAAAAACCAATTTCTTAAACCTCCATTATCCTCAGCAAGAATGCTCAACCATTTTCTCCCTCAAGAACGCCTCGTGGGGGCTGGTGCCGTGGTTCAGCAAGTTAGGCTGCTGCTTGCCATGCCGGCATCCCTATCGGAGAACAGGTTGGAGCCCTGGCTGCTCCACTTCTGATCCAGCTCCCTGCTAATGTGCCAGGGAAAGCAGAAGATGGGACCCTGTCACCCACCCAGGAGATCAGATGGGAGTCAGCCATTGCAGCCACGCAGGGAATAAACCAGTGGATGGAAGATATCTCTGTCTGTCTATTACTCTACCTGTCAAATAAAGAAAACAAAAATCTTAAAAAAAAATGAATGCCCTGTGAAAACATGCATCTGGAAGCCACGTTTTCAAACCTCCAGGGGAAAAACAGCTGCCGAGTGAGAGAGGAACCACGAGCGCTGCCGGTGCTGGTTCACGGGTACCCGGGGCTGACTGCACTGCTCTTTCATGTTCTTCACGGGGCGGAAGACTTAGATTTCCACATCAGAATGCTCAAAGAAGAGTGTCCCATGCCCGGGCCTGCGCTCGCAGCACACGTCACCCTCCTAACATAGCCGGTGGAAGCGGCGATTCTGCTCAGAGCGTTTCAGACCCCTGAGACCTAAGGTGGTGTACACACAGCTTCCTTCTGCAATAGGCGTTACCATTTTCCCACCAACAATCTCTGCCACATTCCTAACTGGGAGCCTCCCTGCATAGCAGGCGGAGGAGGGCAAGGATTAGGGAAAAGATCAGCAGAGACACGGGGTCCTGCACACTGTGGAGTCCCTCTGTGACCCTGAGGGAGCTGTGTCCCCTGAGAGCCTCCCTCCTGCCAACTGGAAAGAAAGGACACTGCTGCCACAGCCTCTCCCCCGATGCAGGAAGAAACCCTCAGGGGAGCCTCACAGACGTGGTGCAGATCCCACTCCCAGGGCCTGGTTCCGCTCGGACAAGCCTTGTGACCTTGACTCCTCCCAGACTCCACCGCTCCTTTGTGAAGTGGGGACAATTCTCGCAGGGTTGTTGGAGGAGACAGGAATCACAGAGGGTATTTAGATCAGGCCCCGCTCCTCTCTCCGCTCTGAACCAAGGCTGGCTTATCTCTTCATATTCCAGAAGGTAGTTCTTGAAAGCGAAAGACCTCCAGGGAACTCCTTAAAGGTGGAAATTCTACAAACCACCCGCGGGAAGCCCGGGGCCATCAAGTCTCACTGGGAGACTTAAGGTTTTCAGAAATTCTCAGGTTGGGATATATTACATTCCTGGGGTTTGTAAGAAATACAATTTTACATAAATCCAAAATTTTCTAAAGAAAGAGGACCTATTACTTTCAA